TTATGACATTTTAGGTCATAAGCCTGCCTTCCCCAAATATGCAAGGATATCTGTAATTACATGTAGATTAGTCTATTGAATTCTTTTAAAAAATACTTTACAAGAAACTGCTTGTCATGGCTTATAGTAACCTTAAAGGACAGGTGTTTAGCCTTATAAATGGCCCAACAGGCTTGCCCCATACTAGGAATCACTTAGAGCAATTCAAAACTGAATTTAGCAATAATACTTGAAAAGTACTAATAAGGCAAATTATGCCTTGTGATTAAAAAGGTAGATATGAAAAAACTTATTGGAAAGCAAATTTTATTTAGGCTTAAATTACTTTAAAAGGGAGCTGACTTCTTTTTCATGAGATGGTTGTACAACTTCTAGTAAACTTTTTATCTCAACAAGTATTTGAAACCATGGTATAAGTATTTTTGTTCATCCCCAATAAGAGCTAAAATCCCACTGAGGCTTAACATGGCTCCAAACATATGCTGCTCTTTAAGCAAAATCAATGCTTTTAAGTGTTTTAATCAAATCCTCATCATTTCTATGTATGAAGCAACTTAGTCCCATCTTAAAACCATGGAGCTTCAGCAATAGCTAGAGGTCAGGGAGAGACAAGCGTGTAGTGAAACTGTTGTTGGCATTCTCCTGCAGTTCAACTAGTTTGCTCTCTCCTAGACTTCTTAGAATATAGGTGAGAAAAGGAACCATTTTTAAGAATGCACAACTAACCCTCCCACCCCCACCCTAAAATCACTAAGGGGACTGAATGCAGATGTGCCATAAATTATACGATGGAGATATGCCTAGGAAGTTATCCAAACTACAAAGAGTATTTTTAAAAGCATTAGAATTTCTTGTTAATTTGTGTTGTCTTCTTAGAGAAGGACACACATGTGGATTGGCTGCTTTTGAGGATTGCAGAGGTACCCAACGGACAGGGTTGTTGTGGGATCTAAGACAACCAATACATTTGAAGTGCCCAGAAGTGTTTTGGCAAATAGTAAGTGCTCCGGTAGAGTCAGATGCTATCATCACCATCAAAACAAAAAAAGTATAATCTTTTTATAAAAATTGTAAAATGCAAAACGTACATTGAAACTTGAAAAAGAAGTCTCAATCTCCTCTCCTCCTTTTTAATGTATTTATTTGTATGGGTTTGTGGATTTCATGAGTCTCTCCTAAGATGTATGTGATTTCCACCACTGTTTTGTTAAACAATCATTGTCACCTCAAAAGTTAAAGAAAATTAGGTTACAGGGCACAAAAAACAGAAATAATATAAATCAAAAAGCTGAAGGTACACCTACACAGACTATTGCTAATGTTTGTTATAGACCTTATTAAATATATGCTAAAAATAGAGTCTGTGCGGGCACTCTAGGAGAAACATGAGAAACATCAGGGCTTCAGACATACAACTTGAGAGTATTAACTCTAACAGTAGTACATGGAAGCAGAGCTAAAAGGAGTGCAGAAAATGGTGATAATTAAAACAGGGAGCAGTGCTCAGAGGTCACTTTAAGGATGAAAGGCCCGCTGCTTCTAAGTGACTAGAAAATCATCAGCTCTTCCTTAAGACATTTCGGGCCCTTGTTTGATCAGACATTAAAATCCAAAGGAGGAAGAGCATTTACGAACCCGTAGCAGAGCTCCGCCCACACGCACACAGAGGCACAGGCTCGCGGACTATGCGGCACCGCCCACACTCCCTGAGCTGGAAGCGCTATTGAAGGCGGAGCACCACCCCGCCGGCTGCACACTGCACACACCTGTTGGAACGGGCGCGTCTGGGCTTGCCTGAGAAGCCGCTGCTGCTGCACGAGCTTCATCTGCACCAACTGCTGCTGTGAAGTGATGGCGTGAAGGGGCGGCTGCATCACAGCACCCGAGCGCCGCTGCAGCATGTTGGACAGAGCTTGTTTGGTGTTGGTGGGGACAAAGGAGCCCGCGGGGTCCAGTCTGGAGCCACCTACAAAAGCAACCGAAAAGAAGGGCTTTCTGCGCGTGTCAGTGCAACGGGTCTCATTTTATCAAAATGTGGAAACCTCACCTTCTAAACCTCACTGTATGAGTCAAATGGAAAACAAGGCACTGCCCCCATCCTGTACAGATATTAAGAATCAGTTAATAGTTGCTTAGGTTCCAAAGGATCGGGAGGGTTGATGTAGCAGTGAATTATAGCATGTTAATGACTTCTTGGAGGTTCCACTTCAGTTGATAAACTGAAACGCCTGGAGCACAGAATCATCAGCAAAATTTCAGAATTTCGTGGGCTTTAAATTATGAAAGGCCCTCAGAAATATATTCCTTGCATAAAATGTACTGCATTTGCAGTGTATTTTGCCAAGTGTCCTAAGCCGGGCATAGAAACCTCTTTGTAATTTCAAACAAATGTGAAGCTCATAGTCTTTAACCATGGCAAAATACAAATTCCTGTTTTTGTAGTTTTAAAAGCTTGAAATACTTGGAAACTTTAAATACCTTAATTCTAAACACAAAACACCTTTTTTGAAAGCGAGAAATCAAGTAAGCAATGTTGATTACAGTGATGCTTATGAAAACAAAGGAAGTCTTAACATATTTGCATACATAATTTATCAGATGTATTTAAGAGTTTGGGAAAAAAAATTCAACATTTACCAGTTTCAAAGAAGGTGCCAATCACCAGATAGTCTGTATTCTTCAAGTTTGTGAGTAACAAAAATTCTTTATCAATACCTCATAAAAGATATCTTTTTTTTAGAGTAATTTGTATTATGGGAACAAATATTTTAAAGCTATTCACTTGAAAAACCCACATTCTTTTAAAGACTCAGTATCAAAATCAGCAGTGTGATTTATGAAGTCATTCAGAGGCATTTGAAAAACATTTGGGGAAAAAAATGTAAAGGCAATTTGAGTAACATGGCAAGGTAACTTTTGTTAAGAAATAATTAGAATTTTACTAATACATAAAAACTTGATTGACTCATTTTATACATAAGGGAAATTCTTTTTAGAGATTACATTATGGTCTACTTTCTTTTCATTTTCCTAACCTTCCTATAATCTTGTACTTTTGAGCCAACTAAAGAAATAAAATATATGAAATATTGAAGCTGTATATTCATATCTAATTCCCACCTAATTATACCTTCTCCCATCAAATGCTACTCTGACCATGGTGTTTATCATTCCCATACATTTGCTTATAACTTTACCATACCAGTGTACATATATGAGAAAGACAGAGGAAATTGGTAAAGGTGTTGCATGTACGTTTGTATGTGTTGGTGGGGGTATACTGTTCTGCCTTTTAACTACATATGATTGAAAGCATCCTGTGCATACTCTTCTGCAACTTAATAGGATTCATATTGTTATGAAAATCCATTAATTCACACATATGAATCCCCAGAAATCATTATAAATTTCTTATTATAAGTTATCACTTAAGACTTAGCCAATACCTAAAGTTTTTCAACTTCTAAACACCTTTTATTGTATTTGAGGGGAAGAGGGCACGCGCTTTTTATAAATGAGTTAGCCTGCAATTCATAGACAGGCCTTGTGTTTAAAAATGCTAAAAAATTCACAAGGATTTGGAAAATGAAAAGAGAAAGTCAAAAGGGTGGATGATTGTATATTCTTTTTCCACTTTTGTCAATTTATAATTTTCTCCTTATAGTCCATGGTCATCTTATTCTTTAAGAACCTACTTTACAAGCCAGATACTGATCTATCTAGGAATACTATAGCGAACAAAACAGAAAAAATACCTGCCCTCACAGTGCTTACATTTAGGGGAAAACAGTTAACAAACCAATAAGTAAATAAAATAAGAGTAAAGAAGCAAGTGCTAATACTATAGAGAAACAGAAAGAAAGGGAGGGGTGTGGTTTACAATTTAAAACAGGGCGGCCAGTGGCAGTCCACTGCAGAAGAGGTACCTGAGCGAAACAAAAGGAGGCAGGCAGTGAGCCGTATGGATATCCGAGGGATACCAGTGTAGGCTCAGGGGCCAGCAAGGGCAAAAGCCCTGAGGTGGGAATGTGTTAAAGATCATTTACTGAACATGTTTGCTGTATTAGGCTATTTTGCAAGTGCTATATTTCTTTAAATTTAAACTGTGTGTGTGTGTAACATAAACTTTATTTCATCCTTCAAGAAAATAATTTTTATCCATTTTTTTTACTATAATATCTTAACAACCAAAACAAGCCCTGGCACATTATGAAGCTCAATACATGTTGTTGAATAAATAATTGAATTACCCACCCGTGAGGATATATATTAGCATATGCAATTTACAGATAATCAAGCAGAAGCAGAGAGAAATTAAGACTTTGCCAAGACTTAGCAGGAGTGGTAGAACCAGACTTGAACCTAGAATTCTTACTCCCAGACCAGCTCTCTTAGCCACTAATTTAGAGTACAAAATATGCATTCTCTTCTGTTGTTAGGCTAAGAATCAAACATTTTCTTTCCTAGGCCTCAAAATGTCACTCAGATTACAATAAAAATCACAATACATCATAGAATACAATAAGAAAAAATATTGTTAGAATGGCACATCCATCCTCAGGCAGACTGAGATATCAAAATAATCTATTTTGCTAAAGCAGGCAAACTTTCATTTAGGAGGAACATTTCTAATTAAGAGACTATTTTTTTTAATGGAAGTCTTCATTCCCGATAGAAAATCTTCTTGGACTTGAATCACAGAAATACTAAAATCAGGAACATTTATTGTGGATATTCTAGTTTTCCTTATTGATCTCTAAATCTACTTGCTTACCCAAATTCTGAGAACCTCCATGGTATAAACAATTTACAATTCACAATATAAGAAAAGAAAAGACACTGTGTAATATCGTTCAGTCTTTTAAAACACTGACACAAATTGTATCTGATAAAAAAAAGTCCACAAATTTCAAGCATATGGCTTTTTTCGACTTCACATCTCACAGCTTAGATTTTCATCAATGGCTAATTTCCTTCTACTGTGGATGAAAATTCCCAAAGCAGTACATAACAATCATATTTTAGAATAAGAAAATACATTTTGAGTGGAGAGAATGACAGAAATGTCCACGGAGCATTCAGTTCTTGAGATTTCCAAGTTTTCTGGAGGTTTTGGATGAGAAGCCAAGAGAACCTCAACTTACTTCTCATCTCAGAGCAACCCCACTGAGCTCTCCACATACCTGGAGTAAGAGATTGGTTCTGAAGGAAAAAGCCAGGCTGCTGGGGCTGACCCATGAGGTTGTAGCCCCACAGGGTGGGCTGTGCAGGGTGCATCATCTGGGAGGAAACGGGTGAGTAATTAGGAGGCACTCGGTATATGTTGCTCTGCGGATACTCCTTCAACATAGAGTTAAAAAAATAAAAAGTTAACTCCACACACCAGACAGATAATGAATGCAAAATTTTTCCTATCACAGTATCTGAGAGATCTCCTGTCCAGTGACAGGGCTGTTCTATAAAAGGGACAATGAAAGCAAGAGCAACAATATAGTCTCTACAAAACACTCATTTGAGTTAAAACTCGTCCTTGACTTAAAAAGTACTTGGTTTCAGTGGGGAGGGGGTCATGGAAAGGGATCTATTATGAACTATTTCTAAAATACTAAAAGCACACTTAGAATACCTATACTGAGCACCACCCATAGCATAAGGAGCATCTTCAGTTGCTAATTCTCCCCATCATTTCATCTTAGAAGGCCTTCCTGACAGCCTGGGTCTGGATGAGAGTGATGCCAAAAAGGCCCACCATACTTCAGAACCAGTCCTAGGCCTAGACATTTAATTTCCAATTTTCAAGACAGTATTCTAAAGTAGACTTCCCGCTACCCTGCTCACCCTCTCCTGCCCAGGGATTTGGTTCCTCTTATAGAAGCTGTGAAGTCTCTAAGGATCACACCTGAATGTCTAATTCTTTCTCTTAGTTTAGCCCCAAAGAGTAGAGGAAAAATAAAATCACAGATCCCTGCAATGCAGCCTACTGGGAAGAGGCAGGTGCAGAAGCAGCATGGGAGGAAGGCACATGACCAGGACACACTTGGGAGGTGCTGAGTTCTAAGGCTTTTGCAACTGAAAGGAATAGAAACCCATCCATGTGGACTGTGGGCTGACAGGCTAGGAAACCCGCAACTGCAGGGAGTGGCAGTCTGGACCTGACTGCGCACCCCTTCATTGGTAGGAATACGTATGAGGGAGTGTCACTGATGTTCAAGTGGCATCTAAAAGTGATGCTGGGCTTTCCTAGAAGATTACTAATCACCACGCTTTTGGCCAGAAAAAGATGTTTCAGTTTGACATAGGTAAACAATAATTAGTCATGATGGCTGAACACTAACTTGTGGATATTTCTTCTATTACACAATAAGACACCCTTGAGTTTTATAGAAAAACATCTCAAATTCTCTCTCCAGTATTTTCCAGATAAATTTAAATGGAAAGATATTTCACACATTAATTTGATAAGTGCTATAAAATCTTTTCTTAATTACCATCCTATGGATTTCTGTTGTTTTCAAGAAAATCTTGCTATAGGTAGGAATGCTAGTGGGGAAACAAGACGTGAAGCTATCTTAAATTACATGTACCTTTTATAAAGCCTTAGACTATGATAAATAAATAGAATACACAGGAGAGTAAGCTGGAATGGTAAAATATGAAATCTCAGAAACAGCCTTTTGGATATCCTAGATAGAACTTCATCTAGGGAAAAGCAAACAGTGTTTCAATGTTACCTTACCACAGATATCAACTGTCCAAAAGACAGTAAGTATTTCAGACATACCTTATAATGAAAATGTGAGAGGATGAGTTTTATAGGTCTAAAACAATTCCACTTTCAAGTCTGAGAAATTACAAAACACTGACATACTGAATAAATATCCACCGTGGAAGCCTAGACAATGGAAGCCTCCTCTCCATGCTAAGGATAGGAAGAAAAGTCCAGCTATAAGCCTGTTGTCTGTGACAGTCACTGCCTGGGCGCCACTCTTCTAAGCAGAACAGAGCCTCGTAGGGGAACTACTACAGCAAGGCCGATGCTCTTGGTCATGTTTCCAGGGATATCACTCAGGCACCAGGACATGTTCTAGAGACGTTAACGAGCCAAAGCTCTACTTCCCATACTTACATCAATTCTTGAGCTTGATTTCGTCTTGCGCTTCCTTCCCTTTGTTTTCTTCTCTTCATCTGTTGCGGTTTTCCCCTGATCTGACAGCTCAGCTGATTTCCTCTCGGGTTCCTGAGAGATGGGAGATGTGGGCTCTTCTTCCTCCTCCTCGGGAGGCAGGGGCAGTGGCTCAAGGTAGTAGCTGCGGGGCTTGGGCATGGGGTGTGTGTGATACAGCAGCAGGTGGTGCTGCTCCTCGTACTTGATCACCTTTCGGTCCACTCGGACAGTCCCGAACCAGGCCCAGGACAGAGGGGCTGGGTTCTTCTGACCCTCAAACAAATCCCACGGGGACACCTTCTGCTTGGTAGAGACCTGGAGACCCTGTGGTGAAACAACACTCTGTGAGCACAGGGTAAAGTACTGCTCCCAATTCAGAGGCCAAGATTGCTTAGGACATGATGCAGAAAATATGTTGGCTGGCATGGGCCCTAGAGATCCCTAGCATACAGCAGACAAGAAGCTGATGGCCAGGGTTACAGAGCTAGATCTCTGGAGAAGAGTGGCTAGAATTCAGACCTGTAAGTTCAGTTCTGTGGGTCTTTGTATCTCACAAGATACTCTGTTCAGGCCATTACCCCAGATGGCTCTGCATATTTAACTGTAAAATGGAATTTTTCACTTAGTTTCTTTTAGGGCAAAAATTTTTTTGGAACACCACAAAGTTGATCTTACTGTATTAAATTATAATCAATTATAAATGTTTGGAATCTATTGGTTGTTTTTAAGATAAACCTAAGCTTTAGTCAAGTTACAGTCAGCCTCTTATTGGGCTCAAATGAACTTCAATCTAAACACATATGGACATGATTCAATATGGGGATCTTTCATGCACTTAATAAGCTAGTCTCTGAACAGTTAAGTAATATTACTACAGAATTAACTTGTACCAACAGGCATAAAATCTTTTAATTCAAGTTTATGTCTACTGAGTTTTAGAAGAGGAACTGTTACTCTCTTTCTGAAAATAACCATTTCTTACCCTTAACATTAATTGGTGACGTCTCTTGGTACTTTTCCTGGCATACTGAAGTGAAAATACTTTTCCTCAAGATGACCTCAACTGTAACTACTGTACTCAGGCATTCCATCAGATATGTGCACCCCTGATCTTATCTACACATACTTGTCCATGGGTGGCTTCACCCACAGCCAAGGCTCAGTTACTATCTACCAATTGACAGTTTTCTAATATTTGTCATGAGATTAGACCTTTTGCCTAGGTGCCAAGACAACACACAGATCCAAACGGTTTCCAGACGTCTCACCTCTGACCCCACTGGCACTGCAAACCCAACTCACACCCAGCATTTTCTCTCCTTGCAGCTGCACTGAGTGCTCAGCTTGCCCCAAATCACTGCAGCGCTGCATTTCTCCGGTGGGCCACGGTCTTTCATGCCTTCCTTTGCCCGCACCACACTGCTCCCTACCTCCTGGCTGACTCTAAATCCTTTCAAAATGCCCCAAGTGTCGATTTTCCTGGGGACCCCGCTCTGAGTAACCCCTCGTCTGGATGTGATGACTTGTTCTTGGGGTCCCCTAATACTCCGTGCGTGACACACTGTCATTGCCTATCTATTTCCACTTAAGGGGGGGGAGCTTTTTCTTTCTTCTCAATGATTTCAGAAACCTGTGGTTGCTCAATGCTCATTAAAAGAATCATTGACCACTCTTCTCATATTCTGGAGAACCTTGTTTAATATCTTATATAAGTGGCCATTAAATATGGTTTAGTTGATAAGAAAATAAAGTACCATCCCTTTAAAAATATTTTTTACTCAAAATAACTTATGGCTTGAAGAGTTTTTAACAAAAAATTAAGTAAACATATTCTGTTTCCAATTCTGAAGTAAAATCAGGCCTGGTCATTGATCATATATATATATGTTTTTACACTACACTTTCACTTAGTTTTCCCTTGGTGGCCTTCAGAAATTCATTTATATTCAGGTAAAGTTTTAAATGAAGATCTTCATGATTTGACCTATTTATATGATAATGCCAAAGCATTTAAATGAGAAGAAAACACTTTTTAAAGAAAATCAAGAAACATGTATTATATGCCCTATATATATTCCTATATAGGAAGACAAGACAGTATTATTTTGTTTTTGTTAAGTTTATGTATTCATATATATGAGAAAGAAACATTTACTCTTGCCTGTTTTTTATCTATTGAGTCAAATCCAGCAATTTTGTTTCCCTTTGTGTCAATCAATGAACCCATAGGTTCACAAGTGATGACATCACATGTCTGTTTCGGCAAAGGTAGCAATTGTCGAACTTTGTCAATACTTTCTGATCGCTTGTCTCCTAGCTCTTTCTAAAATAAGAAAAAAAAAGGCGAAGAGATAGAGAAGTGGGACAAATATTACAATGAAGGCAAAAGTTAAGAAGGAAGTTCCCTTATGAAACATTTCCTTTTTTATAGTTGGGATGTTCTTTAACCTTGACCATGGTCTATGATACAGCTCTCAATTAGTAGTATGTTTCATTTCTTCTATTTAAGTAGAAAGCAGAACACATATAAAGGGACCCTTGTTACACAAAGAACATCACAGTGCTGAAATGACAAAAATCCAGAGTAGTATCTGCAGTCAGAAGGCTGGAGCTGCAGCACAGAACACGTTCTCAAATTCAGAGTCAGACCGAAAGGTAATCATTGGTTATTTTACTATTAAGGTCATTGGATATATTGCTTTTTTTTTTTCCTCTTTGCCCTTTCTTTACAGTTTATTTCAAAGATTTTGTTAGTGGTGAGTCAAATGAATCATATTTGGAAATTTCAATGCAAATGGTTATTTTTCAACTACACATGCCAGTCTAAGCACAGATTAATCCTAAATCTAATGTTGGCATTTTGGTTAAATATTTGATAATAGATTTCATAAGTTCCTTAAAAAACTAAAATATGTTTTCTGAATATAAATTTTTTAAGAAAAACCTTCAAGCTATATGCTTATAACTTTTGTGTACTGGTAAACTTAGGTAAAACAAATAGGAAAATAATCATACTATATTAACTCAAATGCAATAAATAACATCTAATTTAAAGAGTAGTAAGTTGGGATGAAATGCACTAAATAACAAATCCATAACCAATTTGAGCTCTTAATATAAGCCGGTCACAAACTTACCTTCAGTTTCTTTACTAAATTCATGTATGCACGTTTATTCTCTTCAGACCCCCCTGGGGATGCATTTGATAGGTCTGAAGCTAGTGTTCCATTGATTAAAACACCCAGCATGTCAAGAACAGTTGTGAATAATTCACTAAAAGGGGAAAGAAAATAGTCATTTTCACTTTAAAGCAAAACCAAGATACTCTCAACTAACCGAGCATTTTGGTTGAAGACACAGAACTTTTAATGGTACCTAAGAAAATAAGATGTGGCAGTTATAATCAGTAAACCAATGCTTCTACTATATTCACATGTAGCAAAGTAAATGTGAAATGTAAGACATACTTGTTAGTGTGCATGTCAACAGTTCCAGAAGTAATGATCTGCAGGAGGAGGAGGGCCCAGTCTGTCGTCCACTGGGTGCTCCTCTGCACCGTGTCGAACATTCCTCCCACCTAACATGTAAAAAAATACAATATAAACTTTGCATTGTAGTACAGAAAAGATACTGCCCCCGTCCTTTATGTAGCCAAATTTTGATTAATTTTTTTTTCAAAAGATGCTCTAATTTATGGAATACAGCACCTTCTTTCTCACCTCACTACATCTGACAATTTCTTGGTTTCTTTGGCATAGGAATCTGGTCATTCAAAAAAAATAAAAGAGGATACCTAAGTATGGGCACATCATCAATATGAATTAGGAAACAGTAAATTTGGCTTTCTTTTATTCCTAATCTTGCATGATATATCTAGTTTTATGATGTCCTTTTGTCAAATTTAATCTGAATAGGTCAAAGCAACACAAGCCAATTATCTACAGCTTTATGTTGTTCAATTACTATTGAATCTAGCCTGTTGTCATAACATTGGGAAACAGCCAGTAACACAGGAGTGACTATGATCAGGTGGCTTAGCCCCCAGGTCCACTCATCCACGTGTGGGAATCAAGTTAAATACAACTGCCAAATATCAGGAAGCCATCCTCCAGAATAGCCTTCATTTGGGCTTGTCCAGTGGGAAAAGATAAAATTCAAAGGAATATGCAATGTGTGAGAGCTTTTAAATTTCTGTAAACCTTCCTTGTGGGATTTGTTTTTATGATCAACTGGATGGAATGTTTGAAAATTTCAAAGTAACAGGATGTTTTTATGGGGTCTTTAAACAAGCATAATAAAGGCTAATACTCATTTCAAAATAGTCGTCCTCTCAGACTCACTCTTAGCACAAACCAAAGAGGAGGCGAGAATCCCTAGGGCGAGGGCTGCAGGAGGCAAATCAATGCCTAAACATCTACTGCTATCTGGAAGCCAGACCAGGCAGGAAGGACTGTGGCATGGAAGAAAGGACACTCGAGAGACAGGGAAGTAGTTACAGAGAGCAAGGGGCAGGGGCCTCACCTTGGAATGAAGGCTGTAATCAGGGAAGTGGAAAGCTTCAGCCATTTTCACAAGTAGAAAAGTATAATGGAGGGAAAATGCTAGAAATGTCTCTTACCAAATTGAGGCGGAGTTGCAATGCTTCATGCATCATCTGCCGTGCTTTTATGTCATCTTGGTATCGTTCTTCTCTCCAGTTACTTAAAATCTAAATCAGAAAAGGAATGAAAAAAAAAGTGCTTTCCCTATTAAAATGACCACATTTTTTCTCATATTTTAAGTTCAACTGGGCTTTTTACTTCACAGTTTCATTAATTAACAAACAATGCTAAAATAAAATTTTAGCTTTCCTCCCCTTCCTCCACACAGACAGAAATCGGACTATTTCTTTATTGCCTTTCTAGGTAAAAGGAGACAATGCTTAATCTAGTTATATATCCTGCTACTAAGTCTTAGAAAATGCTTTAGCTGGTCATCAAGTTAGACATTAACAAAAATAAAGACAATTTTTTAAATACATTATGTCACTGGTCTTATGAAGACACATATTAGATGGACAGAATTACATTTTGTATCAGTCCTGTGTTACATGTCTAGGAACATGCTGTGAACCCTAACAAATGTATTATTTTTATATTTTACTGAAGGGGGCAGGGCTTGCCATCCTTTAGACTTGTATTTCTTGATAATGTATAATAGTTGGGAAAAGATGACATCTTGAACATTAGTCAAGTGGCATATCAATTAATAAAGTGAGTGCTTCCTCACTAATTCAGGCTGACGTTGGGAGAGAAAAGGCTTTCTTAGAAAAGGCAGACTGCAAGAGGGAAACACCCCATAATCAGATGACAAGAGCAAAAACCACACACTCCACTTTCTGAAATATGGTAACTAATGAGAATTGTCTTAAAAGAGCTGAAATGAGTCACATGCAGAAGTAACCCAGCCCAACAGATGATCACTAAGCATACTGTGTGGTGACAGGAGAAATTTCCCAGAGCTCATCAGAAGTATAGACCTCTCCCAGGGCTGACATAAGGTGCAGGACACTTAACAAAATGCACAAAGCTGTCATGGAGCTTACATCCTAGTAACAGGACAACTAAAAATAAGGCAAGTGTAACAACTGATACAAACTAGGGCAAGGGGATAGAGAATGGTCTTCGTCCTGTTTTTAGAGAGTAATCCAAAAAGGCCTCCCTATGGAGGTGACATCCAAGCAGAGACCTGATAAAGTGAGGTAGCCGCCAAGCTAATATCTGGAAGGAAAGCCTTCCGAGCACAGGGAACAAAAGATGCAAAGGTGCTGCCATGATGACTTGCTTAGCAAGATCAAGGAGCAGCACCGTGGCCACTGTGAAGAGTGGAGTGAACAGGCCATGAGTGGTAGGAAACAAAGCAGAAATGGCAGCCAGAGCCAAATCATGTCAGGCCTTATAAGCTCAGACTAGGAATTTTTATTCTAGATAGAGAAAGAAACATTGGGAGTATCTTGGGCACTGGAGTGATATGACTCACACTTAACAAGAATCACTCTGCCTACTGTATAGAAAATAGATTTCTCCTATCCAAAAGGTGGGAAATGACGAGAGGAACTTGTAAGTTAAATGCCCTCATTCATCTAGTACCAATTCAAAGGAAAGACAGTGTCATAAAAACACAGCACCACAGGAGGGCTCCATTTGGCTCTGCAGTAGGATAAAACATCCCATAAGACCAGTCTATCCACTTTGCTCCATTCCATATGCTGCAACTTCTAACTTAATTATTTGGTTTCCTTGAAGTACATCAAACACAGGTGCCTCTCTAATAGTAATATGGAGAACTGTTGGTGGAAAGGCAATCCAAATGCTTTGTAAATGAACCAGTCAGTATGTCTTCTGATTTGTAAATGAGTATCTGTACACTTCACTGGCATCAGTCTGGTTCTGACAGGAAAATAAAATTGAGTTTCTGAATCTACGGAGTTCAAGCTGAGACCCTCCTGGGTAGGTAGAAGGCCAGCTTGAGGACCTGGCTAGAGGTTCCTCTGTATTACCACCATGCCTAGTACAACCTGGGTGTTCCAGGACCTCTCCCGCGACAAAGGGTCAGAAGAGCAGCAGATACATCAGAGTTATATGCAATATGAAAACATTACTTTTATAGGCTATAGATGTTTCTCTAACACACAATATTATAAAATTGTTAATCATGTGGCAATTTAAATGCCAGATAGGAGAACTGGGCATGGATTGTGTCTCCTAGCATCTAATCAAACCATTCTGTGCCCTTATTTGTTTAATCTCAGTATTTGAAAGGAAAACAAATTAATATCATTAGAAAAATACTTGTCTGGCTTAACATTCTATTCTTCTTTACCTGATTAACTTGATTCTGAAGTGATGTTAGGAGGCCTTCCCGTTGTTCGTCTTGTCCCTTAAGGCAGGTAAGGACCAGTGAGAGGAAAGGCTGTTGACTCAGAAGAGACATACTACAGAGGAAATAATAACAGCAGATCTAGTTAGAAAAAATGGATTACTTCCCGTGCAACAGTAAATTCTTGCTCTTGGGTTATTGGCTCTTATTTATTTTACTATTAGAAAAGGGAGGGGAGTGGTAAATAGCCAAAGACTACTTGAGAAATTAAATCATATCCCTACTGATCAGATTAAAAGATGCTGTAATGCTTCTAAATAATTTAATGTATTCTTGCCCTTGAGGGTATTCCCAAACTAGCATAAATTCTTACTGTGTACGAGCATGTTGCGGGAGTCTAAGGAGGAGAGAATTTATATTTTACATTAGTAAGCTGAATTTAAAGATACACATCATAAGAAGTACCATTTTATATACAGAATAAAATGAAACACTTTAAAATTTCTCTCACACAAAATTTTTATCTTAGGGTCTACAAAACAGGCCTGTATGATTATCATGCTTGTGTAATTTTTCAGCACATTTCTCAAGACCAAACAGTGGGGTACTGGTAGGTCAGCAGCGAGTTCTGAGGACTCCAACACAGCGTGCTTGCTAGTAGTCTCCAGTGTAAAAATTCTATTTTAAAACGGAATTTAATTAATATTTCTTCAATTATCAGAGAACAACTGACAAGTCATACTGACAAACTAATGGCAACATCGGAAAGAAAATTCTTTAAAATGAGATTGAGGCCAAAATATTTCATTTTATACCAGCAGAACAGAAGAGCCACTTTAAACTCTGTAATACCATCTGCCCTCCCTGTGGGAAGTGAGGCAATGTACATACGATCATCCATTAGCAAATCAACTTCAAAAATTACAGCTAAGTCACCTGGTTGGTTAACTGGTAAAGATGACAAAACAACCTGGTAACAAACAAATCACATGCAAAGCTAGTTCTCTACCAACATGTTCTTGAGTTAAGAATGCAGGCTCAGAAGCCAGATTACCTGGCTTTAAATCCTGGCTTTACAACTCAGCTGTCTGTCCTCGAGAAATTTACTTAACCTCTCAGTGCCTCAGTTTCTTCATTTGTAAAAAAGGTATAATAATGAGAGCACCTACCACATATAATTAGTGTGAGATTTAAAAAGTTCACATACGTACGTATGTAATGAATTTTACACAAGAGTTGACATTTTGTAAGAGCTCAATAAATGGCAGCTACTAAAATATCATTAATTAGGAAATAAGAAAACTATTATGTTCAGAATTTTTTAAAGATGGAAGAAATTATCATTATTTTCTTCTACTCCTGGGGTGCTAAATTCATTATCTTTCACATTAGAGTGTGGTTTTGGTCATTCTCAGTGACAGAGTTGGTTTCCAATAGGATTATCTGAAATCTTTTCTAGGGCACAAAATAAATAAAAAACATTAAACAGTGGTTTATAAATTTTAATAATCTAGTCTAGAACAAGAATCCCAAATGTTAAAAATATCAGTAACTATTGCAGGGTTCAACATGACAGTACTATATAAATAATTCTACATATTTTAAACATAAATACATTAAGTAATTTAAACAATTAAAAATAACTAAACAGTCACCAAGGATTTATCCAGATCTGATTCAGTAGGTCTGAAGTGGGGCTTAGTATTTTTAACAGTTCAGCAGTGATTTGGGTATAAAGGCAGGAATGAGAACTAGTGTACTAAATACTATAAACTGGAACTTTTTAGGAACAGAGCCTTGCCTAAAAGAATGTTTTCAATTCTGTTTAAAAATGAAATTTCAGTGGACTGTGGGCACAATGATTGTGCATGCTTATAGGATATGAGATTTTCTCGATCATTCTTTAAACCCTCATATAAAAAAACCAACTTCAAGTCATACCTTTTCTGTTTTTGTCTGTCTCTTTCCTTTTTTGAAGAAGAGCCCAAGTGCTGCCCCTTCTCTAGCTCTTCCCCAGCAGCTTTCAACACTCTTCCTTGCACAGACGTTGGTAGCCTGGCAATTAGGGGAGCCACCAGCCACACACCCCTGCGTTCAGAGGAACTAAAATCCAGAAACAGGTGTTAGGCCCAAAGAGACATTCCTTTTCTCTGCTCTCAGTTGTAACAGAAAATCCAAAGGGCAATTTTTATGCACAAGACATACCAATTTTTCTGGAAATTTCTTTTATTTCTGTATTAGCTTCTTTGCACCAAATACCAGATATTTAAACACAATTTTTCACTCATGCTTATGGAAAGCAATAAAAGGTAGGGTTCTAGGAGGATATAACTAAACTTTTTTAATCTACAGAAGGTTTTTCTATGATTCTGGCTCTCTGATTAGTAATAGTCCTTTTGTCCAATAAGAAATACACTTTTTTTTTATCATGGTTAAGATATGAAATGTTCTGACCATGTTTAAGCATACCAATAACCAATTTTCCAAGTTTTAAAATACACTATACACCCAAATTATGGAATACAAGCCAATCTGCCTTTCATGATTATCATTTGTCCAAAACTGACATAATTAATAAAGATGGCAGAAAAAGCATTTCCTATATAATAAATGCCATGGCAGAGTAGCCTAAGGGGAAACTAAAGAAATTAATCCATCCTGTGTGTCACAGACCCCAAGGAGTCTGGACCTGGTTAACTTAATACTTAGAACACTAAAATATCACCTACCCCAGACATATTGCCCTTTAATGTATTATTAAACAATGAATTGACACTTACAAGTAATTATTTTCTTCACATTCCTGCAGCTTTATGAAAAACAAATGCACTATGCACATAAAAATATACTGTTTTTATTTATGAAAAAGTCATGATAGCCCAATAAAACTACAGAAGAAATACCTTAGAAACGTCTTTATTCCATTCTGTCTCGTGCTAGTTGTATCAGTATTTCCAATCCCATTTGGGTTGAAGAGGCCCATACCAGAATTAGAAGAGTTATTGTTCAAGTCAGCAGACTGCTGGAATACCTCTATTGTTGCCTTTGCAATATTGTCCAGTAAGTTATTCATTTCAGCCACTGAACCAGACCCCTAGCATTAGACATAAGAAAACTAGCACACGTTTTACTTTATTCTCAAACATCTATGTGTTTTGCTTTTCATAAAATTTTATACACATTCATGCTTTCAATATATACTCACAGGGTCCTTCAAGCACTGTTTGATCATTAACTGAAGTTCGAGCCAGGACTGCCTCAATGTCCACTGCTCAAGATTCTGGGAAAAATTGGCACATTAAGAATACTGAACATGTCTTTAAAAATAGTAACTCCTTCCAGTATTTCCTTTCTCAAGAAAGGGTAGAATAATCATACATAATAGAGGAATTTATATGGATCAAAAGACTTAAGTCTATTACCTGTATTCATTGTAGACACAGAGAAATATATAGTAACATCAGAATAATGTGCCCCACTCAGCCAGGCACTGGAAATAAGCAGTTCTTCTCCAAAATCTGTTTATCTAAGCAACCCATTCCAAAATGATTTCAGTTATTTTTTGAAAAGTATATTTAAGACAGTCTCTCCTCCAAAGCTTATTTTTCATATACAGTAGTGACTTGAAATACCAATATTTATATAATGATTACATACACTTGGCAGTAACTATGGATACCAGCAATAAAGTCTGGCAATTGCACAGAAAACTGAAACAGGAGAATAAAAATAAGACTGAAGTCAAGAATTAACAATGACAAAGAAGGAGACAGTAAACTCTTGTTAAGAGCACAATGAACATTTCAAATGACAGAAATACAGTATTTAGCCTATTATCACTCACCTGAAGAATGCGCTTAATGTGCTGTCTCTGCAGGTTGTCCCCCTCAGTACACTCTTTAATGCCATGGGGATAACAGATAAGCTGCAGTAATTTCTGTGCTTGCATATTTGAAAGCACAGGGTCCAATATAAGTTCTTTGTCTGTGCATAATCTTTCAGGTTCTTTTAAGCAATGTTCTCCTACCCATTCCTAAAAAATAACATGGCAGTCAGAATGACAGGCAGAGACTTTCTGTAAGTGTATGCAATATATACTAAATTCATGGCACACAATGGAATATAAAGCAGACAGGAATCTTCCAATTTAAAAAATATTACAGGACAAAAGTAAGTGGTACAAGTTTTAAAAGCAAAATTCCTAGTATTTTGACTTCTTAAAAATACAAAGTAGACCCTGGTTAAAGAAAATTTTAAAAAACAGATATGAAGAAAAAAGAAAGCAAAGATAAAGAAAATATTGGTATATGTTTTCACAATTGGAAAATGAGACCTTGTTCTAGGTACTGTTCTATAGTCATTTTCTTTAACTTGTTAAATAATGGTAATGGTTCTGTATTATGACAGGTCTTTATAATTTTTATATAATGCATTAGACTATATTCCACTAAATAGAGTAAAACATTTGGGAGACTGTCTTCCTTTTTTATATCATTATGAATAATACTATTATAAATAAATATGTGAATATCTATTTTCTGTACGATTATTTTCTGAAGATAGTATCATAGAAATACAATTGCTGGGTCAAGGACTACAGCAAAAAGTTAAGCTATCGATGCATATGGCTAATTGCCCTGAACTCCTAAAACTTTCATCATCGTTTTTTCAAAGGCAAACTATTATGCGGAACGGGGTAAGAAATAATTGACAGTAACAAAGCCCTGTTTGAACCCAGACCTGTCTCAGATGAAGCCTATTTTTTACTACAATGGATCAATGCTGGCTCTCCACTAAAATTACCTGAGGAGCTTATTTAATTCCTATGCTCAGGCCCCACAATAAAACAATTAAAGTAATACTAGGTGTTGGGGCAAAGGTATCAGCAATTTCTTTTAGGCATCAAAAATATCCCCCCACCCCAGCCCAGTGATTCCAACATGCACTCATGCTGGAGACCAATGTATAAGCACTTCTCAATATATGGCTATTAGGCAAACTTTTACCACTGTTACATTTTAATAAAAGCATGACTGTCAATATTATGTCTACAGCAAGGTGGGAAATAATTTATATGGTATGTCATGATTTTTTTTTATAAGAAAGGAGAAATGTAAAAAAAAAAAGGAAAGATAAACAGAAAAAGAATGAAACTAATTGCCTAGGGCAGGGAAGGACACGGTAGAAAGGCTAACGGAGGGAGGATACACCTCTGAGAACACCTTTTCTGTAGATGACTTTTGGAAGCATGCTCCTCTAAAGACAGAGCTGGGGGAAAGACAAATCTAAGCTGAATGCAAACAGATTTAAGTGAAATCAATTCTATGTAAAATGTGTAATATATCCACACTGAAAGAGAAAGTCCAAATGACTTTTAACACAATACTGTAAGTCCCTGGGGAAAAAAGAACTACATACACATCTTCAAGTCTTTTTAGCAGGGTTTGTTTTTCTAGAGTATAGGTGAAGCAATTGTCAAACTATTTCAGGTGTATTGTAGAATTAAGCAAATGAGTAAATGGTTAATGTTACTGGGAGCCAGAGTTCTTACTGTGGAAGAAGTCAACATTAATAGGGAAGTGGGGGAATGCAAAGAAGAACTCCGAGGAATTGGGCTGAAATTGGAGTTATCTGTATAATCAGTATAAAGTCATGATGGTACACACACACATTTAGGTACATGGATGTATGCTTTTCCTAGCTCTCTCTGCTGAAAGGCTAACAGCAATCAATGCATATTGTCCATAGCACTGAACACAAATAATGCCCAGATGTTGGTTTCTAAGTATCTCCTCTAACTTGAACCAGAGTTCCCTGAAGTAGTGAGTAATTTCAGGTCTGGGGCAGGAAGTAAAAAATGTTCTAGAAAACAAGAAAATACTTAAAAAGAAAAAAAAATGTAGACATGTCAGAATAACACAAGAGCCAGCACAGGAAGATTCCCACTAGACAAATGTGGGATAATTTGAACATGAAAATAACTAAGGACAGTATGTTATAACCCACATGGGAAATAAATTAATTCACTAATTAATTAAATGAATAAATGAATGAAAAATAAATAAGGATAGGCTTTCCTTAGAGTAGAATGCAAACTGGTAATTATATTATAATGTGGTTTGATGAGGAAGAGAATATTTGCATTTCTTGAAGTATCTTCCCAAAGACCACTTACTAATTGTAAGGGGAAAAAATGTGAACTAGGTAGTAGAGAAATCTTCAAGCCACACAAAGGAGATGGCTTGGTCAAAATTATCAGCATCAGTGAAATGCAAATGGACGTTACATGCCTTCAGATGGGATTACCTGAGAAGAACACACTACTTCCATAGTATCTTGGCCAGGAATTCATAACTACAGGAAACTTCAGACAAATCCAACGTTATTAGGACAATTGACAAAACTGGAATGTGGCCTATAGGTGAGAAAAAATGACTCTACCAATGCTAAATGTCCTTATTTTTGATTAACTGTATTTTGGTTTATGTTAATAAGTAAACACTGAACTTTTAAAGAAGTATAATGTATGTATTCTACTCTCAAAAAGTTCAGCAAAAAATTATTAAAAAGCATTTGCATCCACAATCACATACAGAAACAATTATAAGTCAAATGGAGCAAAATGTAAAAAATTAGTGAGTCTATATAAAGGGTATATGAGAGTTTTTAAATTAATATTGCAACTTTCAAGCGAATTTGGCATTATTTCAAGATAGAAGGAAGGAAAGGATCACCCATGTGTAGGTTTCCAACAATAGCGAGTATCTCCCTCCAAAAGAACAGTTATTCAAAGTTAAAGGCAAATTAAATCTGAAAAATACCTGCTGACAGATAGTCCTCAGGACGTATCTTGCGTATTCTCTTAAATTGGCAGTTTCTATGGAAATGCTTTTCCCACAGGATTTTGAATTTTGTGAGGCAGCCCAGATATCATCTGCATTCCCATCACGTCGTAAACCCCTCATGGTGAAGTCATCGTTCTTTAAAGAGCTGACATTGTTATTGCCAATTTTGGCATCTCCTAAATAATAGAATCACAAAAGCAAAATCACAGAAGTTCAAAATAGAGTCAAATATTTGAGAAGTAAATGAGGCAAACCTTCAGGGATTCAAAATATGTGAATGGTCACTGTCGCAGAGTCAGTTGTTCAGCAAGAGAGAGAAAATGATCAAGAGGATAAATGAGAGAACCCAGAGAAGTCTCAGCAGCCATGGAAAAAAAGCAAGTTCAAGACTCATTCCTTATTTCGTTTACAGAATTAAGAATGCTACCACCAAACTTGGCAGGCCATTATAAGCCACACTTAATTATCACAGCACATTGATTTCACCAATATTTCAAGCATGAATGTATTCAAATTCATTTGATTCACAAACAAGGAAAAAAATGGGTTACTCACCCTTCTAGATGTCCCTTTTCCATTTCTTCTCTTACAATGACTTATTTTCTATCCATAGGTCAAGAGAAAAGTTTTGCCTTAGCCCACCTTACTATCAACTTCTTGACAAGAGAGATTTATTTCCCTGGGAATGGAAAAGGGCAATGCATACTAAGGAAGCCCTGGAAAATAGGGCATTCATTGAATAACCCATGTCTTTCACTTTCTTCTGTAAACATCCAAATTAGAAAACCTCACCTAATCAATCTTTAATAAACTCAGTAAAATTAAGCTAAGAAAAGTACTTCCCTCTTAACAAAGTTTTGAGGAAAACACTGAGCAGAATGTCTAAATAGCTGGAAATAAGAAATCTTCTCTAGCTGTGACAAACAACTGTCATATTTTAAAAGTGAGAGAATAACATAATGTGGTACTAAGGATTGCCGAATGACAGCAGAGCCTCCAAACTTTTGCCCATTCCCCGCGAGGATTGTAGGCCTTAAGAAATTTTCCTGGAACCAACAAATGAATTTACAGGAGGTCCTCACTGCCCACTGAGCAAAACCAAGCCCAGATCAGTGTGAAAAATCTTTTAAAACCCCATAGGTCAATCAAGAACAAATTTTGACTCTGCTGAAAAAAGCTTAAAAACAGAATGGCTTAGTGATAATTTACTTATAAAATTGTTAATAAAAGGGGAGGAATTAGCAATACATTTCAACTCATCAATATCTTATTATATATTATCCTACACTTCTCATTAAAGCACACATAGAAAAAGTAGCAACTTCACCCACAGGAGTTTATTTAATTCAACAGAGCTCTTCAGGAGCTGAAAAACTAAATTCTATGTACCAAAATTTAGCATGCTTTCTCCAGCCTTTTGTGATATAAAGAATGATTTGCACACCTTCACTTAAACTACTACAGAAATTAGAAACCAAATTCTAAAGACAGTCTTATCTCCCAAACTCAAAATAGATCCTGATGGACAGGACCTGACAGAATACTGGTCAGGACATGTTGAGGAAGATAGATTAAAACTTGCAAAACAAAACCAAAGGAACCAACACCTCTTCCAGTCCCAGACTAGGGGATCCTAATTCAGCTCAGATGTTAGCATTAACAGAGGAGGTATAGGAGGCTGTACCAGAACCTTCTACAGACATGAGAACAAATAGAAAAGAGTGTTCGGTGGCTGCCTGGTCCAGGGCTCTGCTGACAATCAACTGGCCTGATCCTGGCTTCTCAGACCTCATGAACCCCACCTACCAAGAACTGAGTGCAGTTAAAAAGGTCATGGAGAGGCAATCAGAGACAAATGAACTGGTGACTATGCATGGATTTTAAAATAAGATTGTTTGGTATTTAAAGAGGTTGGCAAATTTTACATGGAATCAGACCAGTCCTGCAAATGAAGAGGCCAGTACCTAGATCACATTCATCTTGGATTCTGCCATTCAATGCTATCACTTATGCCTTCGCACTTCCAGTGTTGGCTTATTGAAAACCTTTTTATTTAGTTTCACTAATGGATATTAGAGAGATTGAAAAAAAAGGAAGTCCTTGATTTCAATGCCCCTACATTTATTTATTAAGTAGACTGACCAGCCATAATCTTTCCAAACATCATCAGAGCATGGAAATTTTACTTGCTGAAATGTGCACTTAATGTTGACTGTATGATACAACAAGCTCCTAAGATCAGGGGAGAGGCTGTGGCCCTCCACATGGCTCTTTCATGCACATATATATATATATATATATATTTACAAATACATAAATGTGCATATACACACACATGCTTTCTCCAACTTCTGGTGAATTACACAACCATTTCTGCACAAATTAAACTACTATAAAAATTAAAAACTGTATGTGTGTTTGTGTATGTATGTGTGTGTGTGTATATATATGTTTGTGTATTTTTTTTTAGGCAAACTTTGAATAGTTTGTTTTATAAAAACTGTTACCCTTCTTCATTATCACCAAACAACACTTCTCAAACAGGAGTAAATAGGGACAGTGTATATCCTCAAACATGTTCTTTAAGACTATCTAAAATGATTCCTATCCACTCAGTAATTTCTATTCTAATCAAAGGGAACTCTTCCAGAACACGAAAGACAGATTTTGTTTAGTCAAAGCCAAAAGTGGGTACCCAAAGTTGGAATTAGGCAGTGTGAACCCAAGATACCCTGTACATTCAAACCCTAAATGATTTATATAATAAAAGTGTCTAAGAGTATCACACTAAATGAACAGAAAAGTACTACCATTCCAGGAATATATATACCAATAAAGAGAAGGAAAGCTTGGACATTTTGAATTAAATGGAAAAAAAAACTGTGCGTGCTAATGTTGATTTATCAATAATACAAAAATCATTGCAATTATCATCTGATTCCTAAAAAAACTAAGGATGAAGATTATAAACTTGTTCAGGCTTACAACAGAAACAGAAAATACTAAGATTAAAACCCAGGTTTTCTGGTGTTCTATTCCTAGAATATAAAAAAAGTTTAAACCTTTGGATCACCGTGTCTATCTGTGTCCATCACAAAGTTTGACTTATGCCAATAAATTAAGATAAAACCACCCTGTGGGCCGAAGGATCTATTTCACATCAGAATGAGATATTCTAGTTAACATGCCACAAAAAAGTATTATATTTAAATTCCCCCAGAACTGTACGTAAGATACAGACTCCTCAGAGTCTAACTGAACTTGGACTTGGAAAAAGCCAACTAATTTTTCCAGAAGAACAAACAAAAAGCATGTTTCTTATATTATTAAATAAAATTAAACCTGAATACAAATTATTCTGCCTCTGTTTCTGGTATTCAACTGAGCTCAGTGCCAGGATAGTCTTACCAAGCATCATAATTGCTTTTAAGACAGCAAACACGGCTCCCACTTCAATGCTGTTGTGAGCAGCAGCTAAAAGGTGTCTATCACAAGACGATCTGATTCCAGGGAAAGGTTTGCCTATGAGAATAACAACAAGCCTTTAATAGTCTTATCACCACCATTAACAATCTTTTGTAACCATTTACAGCCAGCAGGGCCTTTGTTAGGCTGTGGGTGCTTACCTGCCATTAGTTGGCTTTAATTGATGCTGCATGTATTTGCTAAGAAACATTGCCAGTATAACTTCTCCTTTTCTTTTTAATTATTATAAGAGTGTCTTTGCTCTTTATACGTGTCATAAAAATCATAGTAGGACTTTCATCTACTTATACTGATTTTCACACACACATACACACATCCCACACACACCCCTATATGAAAATGATCTTTGGGAATAGACTTCACTAAGGCCCCTAAATTCTTACCTTATTCCTTTTACCTCAGTAAAACCAAAAATGAATCACCATTACCCTAAGCTGCTAGGATGTGGTGAGTAAATGGTTATGTTAGAGGATAATGCTGCCCACCAGCATGGCTTAGCCTAAGGGCAAAAGTATTTTTATTGCTTATTAACTCTTGATTTGAGTTTCTCAATATATCCTGATTAACATAAAGGAAAGTGCTGACAGCCCTTTCAATGACATCATTGTGCTCCTTCATCACCTCTGCAGCAAGCCCAGCCCCCCAAAATCAGGACGTGAATTACAGAAGGGACAGCCTACTTGGTCACATTAGAACCTAAAGCTCCACATGAAAATGCAATCAGAGGTTTGTTAGCTGTCAGCTCACCGGTAGCTTGAGGTAATAGGCAGGCCTGAGGAGCTCGGAAGAGATGAAGCAGGAGTCGGCAAGTCATTCTTGCCCCAGGCTCAGCATCTGCATCACCACAAGCTAGGAAAGAGGGATTTTAAACACAAGTTTTCTTTTTCTTTTTTTTTTATTAAGGTATCATTGATATACACTCTTATGAAGATTTCACATGAAAAACAATGTGGTTACTACATTCACCCATATTATCAACTCCCCCCTATACCCCACTGAAGTCACTGTCCATCAGTGTAATAAGATGCCACAGAGTCACTATAAAGGCAAGTTTCCTTACATATTCAAGAACATGTCTTCAGGTTTTCTCATAAGCTACATTTTCTTGAATACTTTAAATAAATGCTCTTTACGGCAAAAAAGTAAGGCACTGGCTATGCTTCTCTGAGAAACCCGAGTACTTCCTTAAAAACAGGTATAAATAAAATAGTTTCTAACCTCTTCCACAGGGATCTGTAGTATGTTGTATAGAACATTTATGACTCCATCCTCTTTACCTTGATGCCACACCACTGCCCAACGCATGTACCCTTAAACATGACTCTCACTGCATTTCGTAAGTTAGTAACCATCCCACCAGGACAACGGGCATGTAAGAGATGCCCTTCCTGGGTGCTGCCTCACCTGCGGCTAGGAGAGAGGGAAGTGCGACGTGCTGCACGACGTCCTCCAGGGAAAAACACTGTCGTGCTATCAGAATAGCAATGAAAGTAGCTAATGAATCATGGAATGAAAGGTCACTCACCTTCAAGAAAAATATTGACATGTTTTAATACCTAACACCCTAAATAATATCTAAGATTAATACCTAAGTAATATCTAAGAAAATGCAGGCAATATCAGTAAGATCTCAAATCCCAAAATGAACCAATAAAATGAAATGAGAACTTATAGTTATTATCGTCCAGGACTATTTCCAATTATTAAGACAAAGAATGAGGTTTACCCACATCCCAGTACTGTAAGAAAATACTGAATTTGACCTTGATCATATGTAATTGAAAAACAAAAGAAAAAAAAGCAAAATCAGGAAATTCCTAAAAGATGTGGCAAAAGAAAATGCTTTAGCAGAATGCAGTATAATCTGTCACTTAAAGGTAAGACCATTAGGAAGCAAGGGACAACAAGAAGTTTCCCTTAACTGAAAAACAAGCCTTATTAATGATTTGAATTTTCTTTCAGGGATAACTAATAATGATTCTGTAATATAATTAAATTACCTTTAAAAACAATTCTGAAAATTTCTGACTCCTAAATAAAAAAAATAAAAATGTGGATCTTTTCTGCTTGGAAAAGCAGGCCACAGATGTGTTTTATACGTATAAGATCTTAGGTACCCACAGAATGGAGTAGGATTGCCTACCCTGTCCTGAGATACCACAACTGGAAAGTAAGCCCTCAACTGAGAAACACTTTTTAAGTGTTCAGTTCTTCAAGAGTAAAATAAAACATGGATTACCTGGAGAAGTGAAATGCAGAAATAGATGAAAAATCAAGGAGTTATAAGAAATTCACACATTATGGATGTAACACGATATTCGAGGGGATTGGGGATAGATAATGGGTACCTCTTCAGCACCTTCCAGACACAATCAATGGGACCAGACACCCCAGTGAATCTGGGCCAGGACATTCTTTTGCAACATAAACAAGACCTATTTCCTTAGAGTGCACTTTTGATCTTAAAAAAAAACAAGGTGTCTCTTTTCAGAATGTAAACTGCTTTTATTTAAGTTATATTCTGTGCCATGAGGAACCCAAGGCTCTAAGTAGAAACTACAAACAGCTGTGTAGACCATATATATGAAACCTCAGCTAACAAATATGGGAATTCTTCACATCTTGGTTGTAGACTAAGCCATCTATTTTATTTCAATTTTCTTTTTTTTTTCATTTATTTAATCCCTGGCAACCACACTATGGTTAACAGCTTTTGAAAAGGGAAGGAAAAAAATATTTTATATTTCAGTTAAGGGTTGAGTCAATTAAAAAAAATTATGAGCATTTTAACTGCATGATAAAGTTTTCAAATGAAAAAGAAAACTTACATCTACAGTGCAAAGTACATCATTAAACCCCCACACGTGATTTGAAGAACAACAAAGAGCCTTCAGAACTCCCAGCCATTCTGAACTGAGAACGGTGCAGCAAGCTGTCAGCTCAGAGGAGAAATTGGCTATGTCATTAATCCTAGAAAGAAGAAAAACAGGGCAGAAAGTGAAACAAGAGAAATACTCACATGTGATATGCTTAATGAACGGACATTTCACATCATTGAACAAGTCACTCATTTGTTAGATTCAAGGATATAATAAAGAACCACTTATTAAATGGCCTAATAGAACTTGGAAAAGAACAAAGATAAATGGCTTCAAATGTTTTCTAATATTTAATGCTACTGAGCAACAAATAATCAGAACAGATGTCAATTAACATATTTTGAGTTCTGTGAACAAACCTGACTTTAAATTTACATTTTTTAAGGGCATCAAAAAATGTTAAGACACCATGTAATTTACGTAGGCCTAAATACACTGTTTTCAAAACACAGGTATTCTTTATTTGTATTTTCATTATACATGTCTCTGTAAATGGACAGATGACTTATAGATTATATACAAAGCATCTCATGCCAAAGCAGTAAGACAGCAACATCTATCATGTTAAGGAAATCATAGTATAAAGCAGAGGTAAATTCAGAATTGAAGAATATGAGGGGGAACAAAAAATGGAGACAATATGCCACTGTCAGCCTAGGCAATTACTAATGATGTTAATTTCAAAGTAGCTCCGAGGCAACAACTCTGTGTTGTGAATTCCGGGGTAACCCAGCCTACCTGCCGGCATCCTGGTGGCCCATACATACATTCATGAGAGTATTGCAGACGAAGCTATACCGATTGGCTGCATTGTCATTTAGGATCTTCCCCAGCATTGAGTAGTTGATGCTACGGGCTGAAGGATTCTCAATAAAATCCATCATGAAGTCTGGATCCCATCGCAAGTTAGAATTTGCAGGCATCACGTTGTTATATATGGTTTGCTTAACTTTTGAACAGGCACTACTGAGGTTACAAGGAGAAGAATTACAAGACAAAACACAACTACAATAATCAGAAAGTTGTTTCACTGAAGGACAGATTAAATGGAAGCAATTGTAGTGTATTCTCAGAGAAGTTCACATTTTAAGTTTTTGATTCCATCTTGATAATCATCACTGAGCAAAGTGGCTCAATAAATAGTTGCTGAATGGGGGAAGAACAGAACAATAGCAAAATTTGGTTACTAGTCTTAATTATTTTCATCTACATTTTACATGCTCTAAAAACAAAAGCACTTACTACGGCTTTCAACAACTGTCTGAAGAGTAGTTAGGAAATGTTATTACTCAAGAATAAAAATGGATTAGGTTATACATAAGGAAAAAATCGGTGTTTTAGTCCTAATTATTCATCTTGGAAAACTGCTCTGCTAGGTACAATGTGTGCAGTGGAGGTTCAGTGCTAAGGCTGCTCTGGTCACTGTGGTACAGCTGTGCAAAAGAGAGGCTCCCTTTAGGGAGCTTACAATCTCATAGGAGGATATACAATGTACAAATTCTATGAGAGTGAAGGTATTATGTCATTCTTAAAAACTTATTTTGCGTTTCTCAGTTGTAGTAAGAAAATTTGAAAAGTGGTTTATCATATGAAAACAGTTCGTGTTTCAGTGAGTTACATCTAAGTAAGATAAAGAATATTGAAGTAAAGGGAATAGAACAAATGAATCTCTTCCAGTCCTGCTCTGCCGATGAGGCTAAAGAATGATCTGATTTCAAAGCTCAAGTTCACATACATTTAGCTACTCTGGCTCATTTGGTGTGGAGAGCAAATCCCTGAAGGAATACTGGCTTTCTCTGTTCAATAAGGCTTTTAACACAGCAGAAAGTCTTTTTCTTTCACATTAAGTTTTGTTTGGCAATTTTACTTGTGATTAAGGCAACACTTTGCTTTTTTTTTTTAACCCCTGATCTTTTGCATCTACATAAACTGTAGCCAGGAATGATTTCCTCAAAAATGAAAAGGCACATTAACTCTTTATTCTAAACTATTGACTTAGGCATCTGCTTTAAGAAACAGAGATTGTTCAGTTAAATGTCTACCAAAATATGGCTTCAGATCTCCTCTTTCACAATCATTTCTGGGGTGTTTGTTAAAAATGAAGATTCCTGGGCCTCACAGTAGGTGTACTGAACTTGAATGCTTAAGAAGTTATCCCAGGTAAACTAAAGAAGGGCCAAATAATGCTTGGGAACATTACCAATCTAACGGAGAAGACTAAATAAAGTCACCCACTAATGGCAGTAATTACAGTCTTCTATACTATCTTTCTTGCATACAATGTATGTAAAAACTTGTCAGTGGTTACTGAAAAGATACATATTTGAAATCTGGAGTATGACTTGCTCAAAATTATGAATGTTATATAGTCCCCAGTGCTTTTGAACATCTCCCTTTCTCCTGTCTTAACTCTTGCCACACTGTCTACTCAACTTTTCTTTCATTCTCATTTAGCAATAGTTCTTAATTTCTTTCTCTGTCCCCTAAAAATGAAACAAAAGCAAATTTTACTCTTCGCTTATTCCCTCCACTTTCTAATACCTGTGTCATTTTAATGAAACTGACTTCTGGGAACAGTAAAGCATTATCTCTTCTCTACTTAATCCTACCAATCCGTTCAACTCTGTCTTTACAAATCAAAGAAATTCTGCTTTTCTTTCTTAACTTAAAGGACTCAGCCTCCACTTTTGTTCAGTACAGTGACTTCTCTCTGCTGCCTCCAGCCTGGATTGCATGATTTTTGCGTATTCTGTGGCTCATGGTGAAGGCTCCTTACTCTTCATTCCTGAGCTTCCTGTTTCATTTCTTACACTGTTTCTGGAAGAGCTTCTGTGTTTTAATAAAGAGCTTCCATCTAGGTCATTCACTAATTCTTACTAGTCTCTATTGCCCACATATGGAAATTAAGGAAACAACTCAGACATTTTCCTTCTGAAGTTGCCTGTATCAGAAAACCCTGGTACAGAAAAGAAAGTAACACACTGTGAGGCCAAAAATGATTCTGATCAAATCTAGGTTTCATCACATGTTAATTTATCATGAGGAACAATCATTTGTTGATAGGAAAAGTCATTTCTACTCCCTGGGTTGTTTGGAGGATTGCAGGTGCTGATGGAAAACCCCCAGCACAGTGCTGGGCACACAGTCACCGCTCAGTCAAGGGCAGACGTGACCAGTGCTTATCTCCCAAAAACGTTCCTCTTATGTAACCTAATAGGTGGTGTTTCAGGTCCACTTATTAAAACTGTTTTATTAGCACACTAATAAAAATCTCTCTGGAGATCATGCTTTTGTTTGACCATTTTTCTTAATCCCAGACTACAAATACTGCCTGACTTAGGGTTTCCTGGCAGAGCTGCAATTTTCTTCCATTTTCTTAATAGACGAAACATGACAGTGTCCCTTCCCGCGATGTGCCCCTGGACAGATCCTAAGGAACCCCTCAGTTCTCTGGTGGTCTCCTACATCTTCACATCCAGTGTACATTACTGAGTTCATTTATTTCATGTACTTGTACTAAACTTCAGGAACATCAGGGGTCAAATGGGCTAGGGGGCTTTCTTGGGAAACAGGGCTGTTTTAAGAACCAAATCATGTTCAAGAAAGTTCTCTGAAAACTGTACATGACACTGAAGAACATAAACAGAAGAATACAGGGTATCATTATAATTACATCATCTCCGTGGAAAGATGTTCCCTAAGACCTGCTCAGATGTTCTGCAAGGGATTATTTTGAAACCTAGCTCATTTGATGATGACATACTTTCACACTTTTCCCTATCAGTAAAAATATCATGACTTTTTTGATATATATATTTCTATCTTTTATTGATTTAGAGTATTTTGCAGACACTCTTTAAGGTACTGGAATATAGCAGTGAAGAAAATAAAAGCTTACATTCTAGGAAGGAGCCAGGCCATAAATAAATATATAATGTACCAGGGGAAGCAAGTGTTGATTCAGAAAATGGCAGGGGATTGGGGTGCTATTTAAAATAGGGTGACCAGGGAGGTACAGCCATGAAGGTACTATGGGTATGAGCACACAAGTAAGTGGGGAAAAGTGTTGTAAGAGAGGTAACCATAGCATAAAAGCCCCCAGATAGGAGTGGGCTTACAGTGTCTGAAGACCCGTAAGGAGATCCATGTGTTTAGGATGGAGTCAACAGAGGGAAAGAGATAGAAGAGAAGACCTGACAGCTAGGTACGGACTTCAGATTTTATTCTGAGTAGATGAGAAGCCTCTGGAAAATTTCCACATTATTCTTGTTTTAAAAGGATGACTTCAGTAGGTATGTTGAGAATATGCTCAAGGGTCAAGAGAACAAGCCAAGAAAGCAGTTAGAAGAACTCTTAAACTGAAATGGTCCAACTAAGGCATGACCCATGGTGGTAGTAACAAGGCAGTGAAGAGTGGCCAGATTCTAGCTTTGCCTAGAAGGCAGAATTCATAGGCTGTATAAATTTTATGGACAAACTGGATGGAAGGTATGAGAGAACAAAGAAAACCAAATTTGACTGTTCTTTCCTTACCTCCTTCTAGATTCCACATTTATTTCACTAACTACTACCATCTTGTCTCCCTACCTATAAGATCTAATCTAAATTTCCCCAAAATAACATTAAATATGTGTTTCTCAGCACCAGTGTACCTGTGGGAGTAGAAAGTGCTAAGATTCGGGGAATGACAGAGAGTCAATGATGCTATTTGAAATAGGATGGTCAAGGAAGAGGAGAAGTGAAGGCAGTAAGAAAGGAAGTAGGCAAACATCAGGGAGACTGGTCTAAGTGAGGTAATACCAAGTAAAAATATAGAAAATCTCCTCACAAATTTGCCTCAAAATTGCAATTATAGCTAAATATGTGTAGTGATCTATAATAGGTTATAGCTACAAGGAAAGATAATTCAATATGAATTCTGGCAGATAATTATGATTAGCTTTCATTATTAAAAAGGATGACAGTATTGGTTGGGCCACTAACAAATGTAGGCATAAGTCTAGTCTTATTCTTTTCATTTTCTTTTACCCACCTGAAGAGGTCTCCAAATTTACTTCTGAGGTGACTACATGACACATAGAGATCGTAGAGGTAGGCTAAGATGCATCTTTCAGGGGAAGAACATTCTGAGGGGTTCACAACATGCTTTACCACACCACACAACCTGAGGAGAAAAATATAAGAAAAAAATGAGACACATATTTTGTTAATATGTATGTTATCGTTTGAACCATTTAGAGTATGTATTACTTGGGTAAGAAAAAGGTATCAGGTTGTTGACACTAATCATTATAGCAACAGTAAATGGTTGAATAAAATATCAGCTCTCTATTATGATATTTAAATACTAGGTATTAAAAAAAATTTCAGAAATGCCATTAACAAGAAATGAAATAAATTCCCCCATACAGAAAGTATGTGTGAAGGAATCCACCATTTGAGTTGCTAAGGCTAGCCCACAAGAGGAAAGACATAACAGAGAATCTCTCTTCATCAAAAAGATTCACAAATTCAGGGAGTTCGCAAAGATCCCAGAGTCTACTCCTTTGTAAAGGAGTAATTCTCCAAATCAGTAAATCTGGGGTAACCATTTTCAAGATCATGGGCTGCTTCTGGCATGAACTTAATTAATTCAAACTAGAAGTAAATTCATTGTAGTTCATCTTAGATAAAAATTTAATTCTTTCTATTTGTGCCCTTTCCCTCAGATCAGAATGATGGTGTCTTTGGTCATAGTTCATGTGACACAAAAGTTCATCCAATACCTTGTATGGAATCCAGAAGGAAGTAAACACTAGTAGGCCATCCACCTATTTGTGTGTCTAATTCCAGAACCATCCTGTATTCTGTTACAGGGTTCAGTACTACCACAATAGTGCCACAGATGACTCAGATTATTAAAACTGAAAAGGGCTTTTGAAATCATCTGATTCACCTCCCTCATTTACAGAGGACTCCGAGGCTCAGCAAGGTGAAGTAACTTGCCCACAGGCAAAGAGCTAGTTCACAGATCTAAGAGGAAAGCTTAGGTCTCCAGACTCACAATTCAGAGCTCTCTCCCCTATTTAGGGAACACGAGGAAGTTGGAGGGAGCCTAGAACATCAAGGCTGAGAAGGACTCTGGAATCACAAATACCAGAGATGGAGTCCAGGAAACCACCTAAAGAAATGTCCGTATAGCATCCCAACTCTGTGAACTGATATCAGCAGAGGGAGCCACCAGGTAGCTGATAAAAGTTGTTGATTACAGCAAAAGTGTCCCACAATTAAGAAGAAAAGTAAATAATTCAACAAGTTATTAACTAGATAAACAAAAAAATTTCCAGAATTATTAACTGAAGCCAAGAATTATTCAGAATTATTAACTGAAGCCAAGAATTATTTTGTGATTAAAGTAAACCAACATTTGAGTTTGCAAGGCATCCACTATATAGCAGTCAGTGTGGCCTCAATTATTTTCACTTGCTAGAGGTGAAAACAACATTTTACTTTGAGATCCAGTATATGCAGTCATGTAAGTGAAAAAAAAAAAAAAAGAACAGAATAATAGTTTAGGGGAAAATACTTAGCCTTATTATATATGATAAAACAAAAAATATAAGAAAATTAATATCAAATGATTTTATGAATACTTAATAGAACATTAATTTAAAATGTCAAAATAAATAATACTGAAATAAATTCAAAAGAAAAAAAACAAAAATACTTGCCAAAACCCATTATGCTCATTTCATGACCAATTGATGGATTTCCCACACAGTTTTAAGAAGTATGGTATAAATCAAACAGTGTGAATGAGCTTCCAGTTAGAAAGACTTTCAGCAATCCAGGAGATTTATTAGTTATGTGGTGGTGGGTACATCGCTTCACCAAACACTTAACTTAACAGGCCTGAGTCTCAGTTTCTCATCTTGTAAAACAGTCCTAATTGTTCAACCTCACAGGGTAGTTGACAGCTATGAAATAGTTCTGTATTTCCTGAACTGTAAGATGTTTATTCCTCACACCGGAAAATATCTGGGATGTTTCAGATTTTACTTAATAATGTAAACTGTATAATTAATGTAGTAGTAGTTCCTTCTCCTCCCAAAAGCTGCTGTCAAACGGATGCCCCTGTAGAATATGGTATAAATTGATTGCATGTGCTAGTTTATGGCAAAAATTGCTATGGAACCAAAGAACCCCATGTTTCCTTTGTGTCCAAGAGGAAAATGTAAGAAAAAGTAAAGAAGGTTGTCTTTTCTTTTTAATATAAAATACAGGAAAAAAGGAGTCTGCAGTGGATGAAATGAGCTAATAAGAATAAGGTTCTTTCACAGCTCATTGTACTTCTTTGGAATCTGTCACCTTAGCGTCTAATGGGTATACTAATTACTTAGCCCAACACAACTACTGGTAGTGGAGAAAACCTTAGCCCGCATTTCACACAAACCAAAGGAAGACTAAGAATCAAGAAAGTCATTTGTTCTAGATTAACTCTTGTCAAAAGATACATTTAATTCATAAAAAAAAGGAGATTGAAGAGGTTATTTCTAAGAAGACAACATGAGCAAAGCTTATATGGTGTTGGATTCTCCAAATACCAACTGCAATTCCATGAACAAAGAAGCTGTCACATATTCACCATTCACACAAGCCATGATGCTGGATCGTGTAAATGAGAGCATGCTCTGGATGTCTGGCTAATACGTGCGGGGCTAAGAGGAGGAAAGGAAGGCAAACAGGCAGGAAGGAACCATACTTTATGAAGGGACACACTTTTCCATGCTTATATGCTGTTTTGATAAATGTTTCTCTGGTAAGTGTTTTCTGGCAAAAGTACTCTTTTTGTTATATCTTTTTATTGAAAGAAACACTGGTACTATTTTTCCTGTTAAAAGTACCATAATAATTCATAAGGTAAATATTCTGTGACCTGGAAAACAATAATGATATTTTATATACCAACCCTTCAAACACCTGGGCTGTCTGATCAGGGTTCAGGATCAGACAGCTGTGGTACCGCCGGAGAACAGCCACGATGCAGACGCACAGGCCCGTTGTGTAGCTTCCTGCCAGGCTGGAAGATTTCAGGAGCAGTTCAGCTTCCACCACACTCAGTTCATTCAGTAGCTACAACGGGAGAGAAGACTGAATAAAAAGGCAGCTACCTAAACATATGGGAAATACATTAATTTTTACAAATCATGGATATATTGGGTCATTTGAATACTACTTGATCTTGCCTCTTATTCTGTTCCAGAACCATATGCAACTAAAAGTCCAGTCTCAGAAAACACACCCTAGTGATGTAAACTGGTTTTTATTTTTAATCCTTTACAAAATTAGACATTTCTTCTTCTGTTGAGACATCACAGTACATACATGCAATCAGGAAGTACCCAGTACTCAGACAGTTACCAAAACTTTATGGTGGCCCCAAGTTCTGGACTGTGTAATTTCAGAGAACAGCCACACCTCTCATTTCCTTCTTTTTCCCTTCTCTTTAAGAAAATGAGTGGAAGTTATCATTATTTTGTTATTACCAAAGCTAACATCTCCAGCAGAATAAGCAATAGAACCCAAGTTTTATTTCTATTCATGAATAAAATAATAAATGAACTCAAATATGGTATATAAGAAATACAATGGGACAAACAAGTAACACGGTTTTGCTAGTTTTCTTAACCTAAGAGCATTTTTAAATGACTATTATATATTTTAGCAGCAATTATAATTATTGAATTGAAAACTAAAAACACAGCTGCAATTAAAATGCTAGTTGAATACTGTTGATTCCGAATCAGTTATTAAAAAATGCACTACGGGGCTCATTTTAGGTTGTATGCTGCCTAGTAGGCACTTTCCTAAAAATGAAAGTAAGGTCTCCCTGACACCTGTATTGCGAAGTCAATTAGTCCATTGATGTTCAGCGCTGGCTCCATGAGATCAAAGATGAGCTGAATATGATGAGCCAAAGGGAGGTGATAAGAAGTCCCTGATGCAAAGCTTGTAATTTGTTCCAGCACATTATTAGAGATCTGTGCAAAAAAAAGATGAAAATAATTATAAGCCTGATATTCCAAATACTTTCTATCGTTTTAATTTTTTAAATGAGAAATTTGAATTTATGTGATCCCACTTAGAAGAAACATTAAAACATTTCTAGAAAAACCAAATCCATATATGAATCAACAACTTCTATAGTCTAACACCATAATTTCAAGGAATAAGCCGAGGTGTCATTATGATCTGGACCTAATTATCCTAAAGGTAGACTTACAAATGCTAATTAATTTCCAAACAACATCTACTTGAGTGTCAATTAATTTATAAAATGAAACAGATTTTGTTTCTTCTCAATTACACAATATTTTATTTCAGTCATCCACAGCCTTCTCCCTATCAATAGCAATGTAGGACCAAAATGTAAATATGTAAGTATGTGTTAGGAATTATTTAAAATACTGTTGATTATTATCATGAGGTAAAACTACTTTCATGATAAAAATGAATTCTTCTTAGATAAACTGACACTTAAAACCAAACTACTCAACAGTCTGAGATATTACCAAATATGCTTTAAAAACATATTTATAAAACCAACTAAGAAAAAAAAAAACCAACTAAGATCCAAGTCATATATTGAATAAAAGATTTTTAAGGAAATATGAATAGCCCACATGCATAAAAAAAGCAGCTTTTAAAATGGCTACCTGAGACGTCACTTGATGTTGATCAAAATATGAAAGGAGCTGAAGTTTTGTGAACACAGTCTCCAGTGTTGGAAATGCTTCCTGTTTGCTCTTCCTGGCTTTTTGTCCCTCATCTCCAACTAAACAAACATACAGTAGATACATTATTTTCCACTTAAAAAGAGCTCTTGACTTTTTTAGTGGATACTTTTTTATTGAATATAACTTATATGAGAAAAAGAGCACAAACTCCACGAATTTCTATAAAATAAATACACTCATGCAATGAAATTCAAATCACACAGTTACACACCTGAACCCCAGAAACTCCCTTGGGTCCCCTCTAGTCACTCCTCCCTCCCCAGGGAACCAAGATTCTGACTTACAACACTTGGACTGGTATTGCCCACTTTGGAATCTAATATAAATGGAACCATAAGATACATACTATTTATATCTGGAATCTTTGACTCAACATCATGCTTCTGAGATTGATCCATATTGTTGAGATACTTTTAATTTGTTCTAAAATTTAATAATCCTCACTTATGACTATACCACCATTTATTTATTCATTCTAGTGAGTAGTTTCTAGATTTTTGGCTATTAATGAGAAGCACCTCTATAAACATTTCTCACTAACTGGCTTTTAAAATGTGATGGAATTAACAAAAAAGGGGGGGAAAACCACCTGGGCTCACACTGACATAAGAGGAAACTTCATTGCATCTTCTGAGGAGACTCACCATAATTCTCCCAAATAGTTTAACATGTAAAAAGGGAAATTTACACAATTCCTAACTTTATTAGAGATAGAAAGGAATGACATCTCTCCACATGATGGGAAAGTGCAACATTTACCAATTTAGTATGAGGAAGTTTGAAGAGAATTCCAACAAAAAAATATTACAAACATTGCTTCTCCCAGAGGGACTCTTGTACTTTAACAGCTCTAAGGATAAGATCCAAAAATAATTAGATCCTGTTTTTAAACACTACAACATACATAATTTCAAGACACATCTAAAACAAGGAAAGGTTGGATTATATGACCTCTAAGATCATTTCCAACACTATGATTCTAAGTAGTTAAAGGCTACGGAGACAAGAGCTCCTATCATCATCTTCCCAAGAAAGCTTAAGGTCAGAGAACAAAGGTAACTATAAAGACTTTTCTATTAAAGATACAAGAAAGATTTCACTGAACTATAAAAACGACTTTGCTAAAAGGAAATGTAATTGTTTTGGACAATACCATTAGAAGAAAGGAAACTTCTCCTTTGACAATAAGCAATTAAAGTTTGGGGGAGAGGAAAAAAATTAAAAAAACTGTTTCCTAAAATAAACAAACAAACCCTGATATCAGAATAAAAGGTACTCAGTAACATAAGGTACAAGATTGTGCCACTTTTGTCATGTAACACCAAACACAACTGCAAAGAATGAGAACTAATAAGTTCATTAAACCTACTTGTTTTTCAATTATCGTTCCTCTAAAGTACTAATTAAGTGTGGAATTTGCCTTCACTATAGCTGCTTACCTGTCATGAGCACACTTAAAACATCCAAGTTTAAACTTTTTATTTACTAACATCACTGAGCCAAGGATGAAAGCTCCCACCGATAGATAGTCTTGGGTCTGAGGTGCTTTATGAAAGTGAAGTTAACGTATTTATTCAGACCTTCCTGGGACAGAAACACACACAACAGACTTGAGGAAGTAGTCCCACGATGAGAACTCACAAATGCATCTTTTCCTGGTTTATGCTAATAGGCTTTATTTACTCACATACATACCTTCTTAAAACCTTCTATAAGAAGAATGCAATTGATTCTTGGCAATTTGGATTCAGTTTCAAAGAAAAATATAAGAAATTGGTGGTGGTTCTCAATGGAATACATATCTTAATGACATTTACATGAGGAACAATATAGTCATAATTCATAGATTTTCTCCATTGGTGTATTCTAATTTGCTTTTATAATATACATTATTGTTCTTTTGTTGCTTAATTTTAGTTTTCCTTTTTAAAAAAAACCTTTAAATCCTGGAGGTTTGGGCATTTATTGTCATGGTAAACTTCATTATTGTTTTCAAATGACACCACCCTAACCAAACAAGACAAGGGGTCAATGTACAAGTAAAAAGAGGACTGAACATGTTCACCCGCCAATGCCATTTAAACCTTAGTTTATAAAGTCCCCTAGGAAAGGCCTGGCTGTTATGAGAATGCCCTTAATGAGTTCTCCAAAAATCATACTTTTATTTGAGGACAGAAATCAATACATGCTAACATAAGCTGTTTTCCTGCCTTACCAGTCCTCATCTTTGCTGAAAAAAGTAGGCAAATGTCCAGTTAGCTGAAGCACAGTTCTGGTGAGCATACTAGGTTTTAAGCAATGACGCACACTAGACTATCAGAAGACAGCTCACTCATCCCAAATTAATGTTTTTCTGGTTGAGGAATTTTATCAAAAATTAGAAAAAGACAAAAATCCTCATTGAAAATTCCTCTGCACTGGTGCTTCTATTACTGGTATCTCAAACAATAACGTGGAACAACCGTTTTCTCTTTGTGAGTTCGTAAGCAAGAGCTGCCCATCTAAGAGACTAGTACAAAGATAGGACAGACTACAGTCTGGCATTAAAATGCCCTTTGTGAAGGAAGCAGGTGCAACACAAAAAGATACCACATTGCTTCCTTCCCCTTTGCGCCTCATCAGCCTTTTTCATAGGACCTGGAAAGACTCCCTAAAATTAATTTAGATAACACATATTATTACACAACCTCTAGGGAGGTCAGGAATAACCTCCCATTCCAAGTATACAAAAAGTAGTTTCCCATAGTCTTTGCTAGCTAGTTCCAGGGCTTATTCAACCCTCTAAATGTAATCCATTTCCTCTTTTCCCTAACAGAGGGAAACAGCAAAAAGAACAAATCAACAGTTTTTCTTAGAGCAATTTTTTTTTTTTAACCAAGTTCAATACTAACAGGCCCACAACAGCAAAGTTTCATTTCCCCTCCACGACTCTTGGCTGTTTTCCTTGCAGAGTCAGTGCAGTACAAGGTCCTTCCATGGCAACAGAAGGGAGTTCGGGAACATGATGTAGAGCACATGAAGGGAACTTCCCAATCGTGTGCTAAAGAGTCTCACCTCAGACATCAGACACCCACACCACCACATTCAGACAGAAAACCTGGTGCCCCTGTACCTTGTTTCTCCATGTGCACCCGTATTGATGGAGAAGAGAGCTATTTGCATTAGTTGTATTTGTATGTCTCTGTGGGAAAGATCTAGTGTGGACAAGCTGTAATAAGTAAGTCATCTTGTTAAAGTCTAAAAACTGGATCCCCAGTGGAGAGGTTCATTAAAAAGTATTTATTTTGTGCTGAATAAGTAGGGTTTCTAGAGGTGGTTTATGCCATATGTAAGGAAGAATGCTTTTTGCACAGAGAAAATCCAGCCTTTTTTCTTTGTATTATTTAAGTAATAGAGAAATAAACACCAGTGGTGGTAGTAAAGTATATATAATGATATCATATTTTTAATCATGTGACTGCCTAATAAAAGAGTAATTAGGCAAATATGAAGTAGGTAATTACAAAATTCCAATTACGCAATGTGGTGACATAATATAAAGGCAGAGCTTCACTGTAAAATCTGTGTAAAAAGCATGCAGAAAGAGTACTCCAAGTAAAGAAGGCATTATAGAGCAAGATTTTTTTAACTTGAACTCATTTGGTGCTCCTGGCAGCCTCCACTACCTGCTGCAATTATTCTTCTGAATCATGTGAAAGAATATCAGCAACTACACTGCCATGATTTCCAACTACCATGCAAACCTGAGTACCCAGAGCAAACTACGGGTTTGAAAAGGGACTAGTAAAGAACTGAGGAAAGGGACCTCTTCTCAAATAAGGGTTTCCCAACTCATTCTTCAGTACTTCAGTTATGACTAATGTAGAATATTTTGGAAGTATAAAAAAAGAGTAGAAAGTAAACACTACCTGTATCTATCCAGACAACGTGCTATTTTAATACAAGGATTGTTATAAATGGAACCAAGGCCTTATAATTTCAATGTGCTTATTCATATTTCAATGTGACAGTCATTCAAGAGAGGAAACCCTCTGGTGACAGAGCCCTGCATGACTTTGATAAAGGCTGTGTGCTGAGAAGGAAGACAACGACAGCTCAATGGGAGCACATGCATTAAGCCTCTTTACCCCCCGTCTCTGTGGTGCTCTTCTTATTTAGGATTTTCAAAATATCTTTGGTAATCTTCTTCAGCTGATGCCTCGCTTCATCACGCTCTTTGCCCACTCCATAAAGAAGAATTGTGCGCTGGTTACATTCATGACTTGAAGATTCATCCTGAAAAACAGAAAATGCATTTTGAAACCCCTGTCTGCACGGGTGGGGTTGCATTTCACACGCGTGAAATGCACTAACCACAGTATCTTCATGCTGGCTGCGGTGGTGGCATCCCGCCCACCTTTCAATTCACCTGAACCTCCACTGGCAACACCCTTGTTTTTCCAGTTTGGAACTTGCTAAAGTAAAAAAGGGTCACCTGACCTGAAGTCCTAATAGAAGCATTTGATGTGGGCGTACCCTACCGAGTAAGTGCTGCCTTGAAAAACCTTTCGTTGCTTAAACTTTAACATCATATTAACTTCACATCATATTACATACTATCTAGTCATACTTTTCCCTTAAGGAACGTGTTATTTCTTAGTGAGCTTGGTTTTCTATATACAGCATTATGAACATAATTTATACTTAGAAAAAGAAGATTTTGCTAGGATCCTCAAGTACTTTGATTAAAAATGTTCCATGTACTTCCGACATGACTGTGTGAGATATATGTATATTTATTTCCAAATGATTAAAACAATAAAAAGTTTGGGTCTCATAAAGTGTGAGGTAAATAGCTGAAAACGCAAACATGCTCTGATACCACCTTCCTCTTCTGGACCACCTCCCCACCCATCACAGACAAAATTCAAGCACTATTTTTCCCACACGGGAAAGGAAATTACTTAGTTACAGCATAACAAAAACACATACACACTGTTAAACACGTTCCTTAGTCAACATTAAACAGTCGAGGATGTGTTCTCTTTTAGGCCTGGTTTTGAATTTTTCTATCTAAATTTCTCTCTCGGATCTTATATTCTTCCATCATCCTGGTGAAAATCCCAGCTCCATCCTTCAGTAGCTCTTCTTCTCTAACGATGTGTACATGTGCACCCGTGCAAGGTGCTTGCCCTTCCTAATAGTGTCTAATCCTAAGTACCTTGCATGAGAAAAGAACATCTCCCAGGGAAAACAAACTGTAATGTGTTTGTAATTAGTAGCGGCTGCAAAAAAACCGCAAAATCCTTTAGACTCAGAGAATTCCAAAGTTCAGTTTGGAGCACTCCACACGTGTACTTTGAATAAAGTAGCATTTTGCTTACACAATCTTGAAATAAGAGCCTGTTTTCTCTCTCCATTTCTGTCACTTCCCTTTCAGCCTTGTTTTGTTATCCTCTGTCACACTTGCATTCAGGACATCACTTTGCATTGCACTAGTTCCTTTTTTATTATGCTTTACCAGAAATACATGCTTGCTAATCTATTTGCTGCCTCATCCCCAACTAATTATTAATGTTTCAGGTGTTCAAATTTGCCTCCTTAAAAAAAAAAGAAAAAGCTAAGGGCAAATATCTTCTAGAAGCTGTTCCTATTTAATATTCTGTATATCCAATCTCCCCTAAATTTTAAAAGATAGACCTAACCACAGGATAAACTCAACACAGGTAGTAATTCCTACACCTGACTGCACATATGAGTGGCCTCAACTACTTGTTCATCGTCAGTATTTGCTGTGGTCACAGAGCATTAGTGATATATTTCCTTCTGGTCTGGCAGGATGCATACATGAGCCCTATGAAGGGCACAGGAGAGCACTGACCATGATCTACAAAGCTCACGCAGTGCTAGTCATATGCCCTGCTGATTGTTTTTCAGTTAAGGCACCTGTCAAATGGTTCTAAGGCGAACTTCTGGGTGAGAGGTGATGGAAAGATGTTAACAAAGTTATTCAACAACTGCATACAGAGTATCTACCTACAGCATAGGACCCAGGACAAGGCACTAGGAACCCTGAGAAAATATAAGGTCCCAGGTTCCCTGACCGCAAGGAGTACAGATTTGGTGGCATAAAAGTAGCATTTGCAAAGTGAGAAGCCCAAACAGATGGTGAGGGAAGGTATCCTAGGGAGATCCAAACACACGAGATACTAAGCTTCCACACTGTGCCGTAACAGCTAAGCCTCGGGATAAGAAAGAGCTATGACTGCATTCAGGTTGGGCCCCTTGCCAACAACAGGGTCCTGGGTAATGGGCTTTTCTGTGCCTTGGATTCTTTCTCCAAAAAATGGGCAAACACCACCTTCCTTGTAAGGTTTTTGTAAGAATAACTAAGATGAAATATGTAAAATGCTTAGCAGCATGTCAGACACAGCCCCCCTGCCGTCCATTCATATTTCTACACTTCACTTCTCTGCTGCAAGTACCCAGTATTCACAATGTGCTGCATTACTTGACATTTTCCCAAGACCTGGGGCACTTCCTTCCTCTGTTCTTGCTCCTTCTACCACCAAAAATAGTCCCAACAGCCTCAACTTCATTTGTAGAAATGCTATGCACATTCAGCATCAGGTCCCTCGCACAGTCACCTCAGCCTAGTGACTCACCATAGGAAGAACAGGGTGGGGAGGAGAGTATGTGGAGTATTTGTCACAGTGCAATTCACTTATTTTCTAGGTATTTCTTTGATGTCTGTCTTCCCCTCTAGCCTGTCAATTTTGAGTGAGAACCCCAGGTTTGTTTTATTCACATGTTTTATTCTCCTTAGTCAGCATTGATCAAGCAATGGCTATTTGTTGATTACATGAAATAATGAATAAATAAGTAGATTAATTTTTAAAAATCCACATGACTAGTAGAATAGGGCAGGAATGAAGATACCAAAAACTAGTTTTATAGAAAATGTAACCTGATCGTTCAGTGCTGACAAAACTGAAGGGCAATGGGAGGCAGGGAGAACAAGAAAGAAAGGTTGTAGGGTATAAAAAGAGGTCTTAATGATGGGAATAAAAAATATGAAGCAAAATCAAGAGGTATCTGAAGGAAGTTGGGAAAGGACTGGGCATCTAAGTGAATGTGCATTTCACTAGATGAAATTTCTTGGAGGAAAAAAGAGTAGGTTGTAAGGGCAGAGAGCTCATGAATTCACCTTCAGGTGACAAGAATTTGAGAACTTGGTGGAAATGTATTATAAATGTCTAGTAGGTGGTTTAGCATAGGGACTAATGCAGATTTGACAACTTAGGTTTAAGAGCAACGTCACTGGGAGAGGTGCAAAATGCCCATGTTCGCTTGCAGTGGGAGATGGGGTATGCAGGGAGAACAGAGAGCTGAGATAGTAAAAGGGATAATTGAGCTAGCAAATGATGCACACATGTTCTCCATAATTAATAAGATGACTGGAAAAATCAGGGTCAGAGGAGTCAGGGAGAGGACATTTAACAATGGGGACCATCAACAGTGTCAAATGCCGTTGAAGTCCCAGTGAATGTGGTCTCTGACTTAACGATTTAAAAATGTGAGAATCTCAAGAGAGGTTTCTCTGGAGTGGCAGGGGCAGTGAGCAGGAAACTGAAGGCTGAAGGAAGAGTAGATGGTGAAGGTGAAGGAACTACCCCACATTTATTAGTAGTTGGGCATAAAGAACAACAGCTTAGAGGAAAGAGAAAGATGTACTATGATAATCAGTGGCAAACTCTTGTTTCAAAGCTATGTTTCAAATAAAGGAATCTCCATAAAGGAAATCCAGATTGGAGGGCAGATAACTAATAAGGAGATAGGGAACCATGCCCTGTTGTCTTGACTGGAAAAGAAAGACAGGGACATCTTTCTACTTAACCACAGGGAAAAAGGAAAATTGATGAAAATATGGGGACATTTGGAAGTGAAGAAGTGAGGAACTTGACAAGCTTGTATCAGTTCATTGGCTCTGATATGCTCAGGCAGCTGTGCCAGAAACAAGGTTGTGAGTTGAGGGTGAGGGGTAGAATTAAAAAGCCAAGAGCAGCATGTAGTTTTATCTGGAAAAGAAACACAGACCAACCTGTATATGGGGTGTGAAGACTGATTTGCTTCTGATAATGTTTTTAGTGAAATCATGTAGCTATTATTAACCTTCAAAGAGAAAGGCACAGACCATTATTATTAAAGTGACTGTTTTCCAATAGCCTATAAGATTTGTTTATATCAATTTTCTATACATGTAGAAAATAAATCTTCAAACAGCAATTAATATCATCAGAATAAGGTCAACCTAAGGGATCAAATATTTCCAAAGGTACCAATGAATTCTGCTCTTTCAACTAGGTATTAAAATACTCTCAAGTTGCATAGGTATAAGCAATATTAATGATCAGAGATCAGTATCACAGAATTATTCTACTGTTTATATCCTGAAGGACAAACGTGTTGGGCAGGAGAATCAACTGAGAAGTCCACAGAAGTCTAGGCCATCCCTTTTGTGCTGACCCACTTCTATCTGTGGGTTGAACAGGTCATCTCGCCTGCAAATTGAGTTCTGAAAATCTCATCCTTGAGATCAATTACCTCTTTCTTCAGATAATATCTGACACTCAGGAAAACTTAACTGATCAAGAAATTAGGAAGACGCATGTCCATAAACCCTGGAAGGCTTGTTGTACTACATTAAATAAGTATGTCTCTTGAGTTACATATCCTTAGAAGGGAGACATGAAGTTAACCAAATTCTTCTCTAAGTCACCTTTACTTCTTTAAAAATAAATGATTAGAAATGTTGTCAAAATGTGTGTGTGTTCACAAAGATGTGATGTTGGTGGTGAGATTATGAGAGCTGTGTATTCTCCTTTTACCTTATTTATATTTTCTGATTTCTACAGTGACCCAATAATCACAGAATTCTAAAAAAATAATTAATATTATTTTAGAAGGGAAATAACGCCACTCTGAATGTGCTGCCTTGTCTCCAAACACTAATGAAAAACAGATGAAGTAGACATAATTGTCTTTCTGACAAAACAAAATATAGCACCTTACTTCTCAACATTCTTTAATGCAGTAGAGCTCACGAAATAAACAGCACACAGCATCCTACCTCATCTCTAAGGAAAATAGTAAAAAAATTTTTAAAAACAATGAATTTACTTATGTAAAACTTTTAATCCATTAAAAAATGGACTCTTAAATGAGAAAAAAGAACTCCTAAATGAGACCTTCAGACATCATTTCTTTTAACTGAATCTTTCGAATAAAATAACTTCAAATAAATGTTACATCAGCATTAAGCCCTAGGCTGGGATGGAGGAGTGGGCATGCACAGCATGGCCAGCTGTGTTAAAGGAGCAAGAAATTGGCAGCTGCTTCTTATTAGTAATTCTACCTTAATTAGAGTAACTTTTCTTTAAATCAAGAAAATAGGAGGCTCCTTTAATTAGATTTGTATAGGAAATCTTTATTCTGTCACAGCTTATTGCCCACAGTATGGCTGAAAGGAGGTCTTTATCTAATAAACAAGGTGCATCTTAGGAGCATAATGGATGTCAAGGGGGTGTGTAACTATATATATTAGTTCTCTGCATTCAAGCAAAACCCTCATGCCAGGTCTGGCAAATAACTGGATCAGCAGAGTTAGCATTATCTCTTGCTAAACACCCCATGTCCAAGACTCCTTAGTTTTGGAATTTGTCTTACATCTGACCTAAATTTCTCTACTCCAACAGGTAAAGTCAAACTAGATGATATATGTAAGTATTAACTTAAAATGCATGTGCTCCATTAAACATTCACTAAAATCAAAAAGACCATGTTTCAAAACCATAAAATGTTAGAACTAAAATAGTGTAAGAGCTAATCAAAGGCCTTAAATACATCTCTCTCCTCCTGCCCTAACCTGATTCCACAAGGACACCAGGATCCTGCCTTTCAGGGCAAGGCCCTCTAGATTGACAGTAAATTTGAAGCAAATATTTTCAGATAGGCACACTACTTTCAGTACAGAGACAAAATAAATAAACAAATTACACCACTGTATATAGAAATTCTGGAGTATAAGTTCACTTTTCTAAGTCATCTCAATTATAGAAAATAACCAAATCCATCAAAGCTAGTCCTTTTCCCAACAATCACAAACTGTGTGTGTTGAGGGGTTAAAATGCACCACTTGCTCTGCTTCTATTAATATAATACACTTTTGTAACCCGAGACACTTCTCCTTTAAAGATATTAGTCATTTTCAGGGCCAAATGGTTTAAGTGGATAATTGGCAGTCATCCCTCATTGAGAAAATACTATCAGAGAGGATTTACAGATAGGTGTGGGTGTGAGTGAGCTAAAAATCAGAGGAAAGAAAAAATTACATCAAGAATTGGAGCCTTTCATGTACCCGCAAATCCTTATTCAAAACCCTCCAAGAGTTTGGATATATAAATTTGCCATAGAGTACTATGATTTAAGTTTCCTGAATTAGTGTTACTTTAGTATGGCATATTAACTTTTTGAGAATGTCTCTTTCACAAGCCTGTTTCATCTGATGATCTTAGAAACACTTCATAAACATCCTTCAAAGTTCATGATTTGGTATAAAGTCAAGTATGAGTCCTATTATCTCTAAAGAAGTGCAGCCATTCCATTCATGGCACTCCTTCTCTCTCCTGGGCCTTAGCCTGGGACGGGGACAGGGGTTGTGCTGAAGGTGAGATGGAAAACTTTAGATACATGATGGATACAAATGCAGGTCTGGGATCAGACAGCATAGGTTGCAGTGGATCTTTAACTTCACTGCTCTGCACCTCAGTGTGCGTCATCCAGAAAATGGAAATAATATAAATGTCTACTTTAGACAGTAGTTCAGATCATAAAATGAATTTATGACAATCTAAGAAATCATCTGTTGGCTATTATTACTCTGAAGTGTACACAGCTTAAAAGCTTTTTGGAAAAGTATAATTTTGTGTATCCAAATCAACAAATAAGGTAATTATAATTTTTTACTGTAACAAATGTAAAAACAAATTTTTCACAGAACTGGAAAACTAAATAAAAATGAAAAGGAATATAACTTAAGAATAACAACTTTTCTAAGAGTTTAATATAAAACTGACAGCTCTAGATAACTAACAGATCAGGATCATTATATTCACTGAAATTTCTGACTGAAATTACTCAGACTCACAGCTTCATTTCAAATTCTTAATGCCAACAGATTCAGGTCAGTTTCAATCAGTGGTCTCTGAACTTTAGTGTGTATGAGCATCACTCAAAGGCTCATCAAAATACAGGTGAGGTGTGCACCCCAGAGTTTCTGATTGACGGGAACAATGTTGGTGCCCAAAAATGCGCATTTCTCATGATTTTCCAGGCAATGCTAAGCTGCGATTCTGCATTTTTAAAACCATTGTTGCAGAATATTTAACATTTGCAGAAACAGACACACTCTCAAAACTTAGAAGAAATAACCAAAACATATTCACAGCAAAAATCACCTACCCAAGTAGAACTACTTGTATCAGAAAGACATTACAGTTCAGAATAACTGTATGTATGTATAAGCATGTGAGAGCACCCACAACATTTATATAAAGGTACCAGTAATACAGGATCCCTTAAATTAGTGACCTTTTTCCCCAAAAAACAAAAGCTAGGTTAAAAGAAAAATGTTGTTTATATTTAAATTATATTCAAGAAAAGCATGAAAAACGCATTATATAATAAACCTGGCAATGGATACAACTGTTTGTCTTTTCTAATTTAATTTGGGGATCTTAAAATTTATAATGGGAGGACACTGTTTCCCCTACAAAGAGTTGATCCAACACAGATTTAAAATAATGACATTATTAACCAGGGGGGAAAAAAAAAGAACAAGAGACTTAATATCCCTAACAAGCACACATTTCAAGTTAATGTGATTACTTGTCAGAAAGCAATTTATCACCCAATGTTGAGCACAGTATGTTTTCAGGTAGATAATCATCTGAGAAAGCAAGCTTGAGACCTCCAGGAAGCTGACTTCGAAACGTTTGGATCTCTACTTGGATTTATCATTTGTATGGAAAATAACCAAAAGAACTCATAAAGCATCAACTAACTCTATGGCAGGTTTCAGTAAAAAGACGCAAGATTTTAAATTGCTTTTTAAAAGATGACTTCTCACCCACCCTGCCCCACATTTCCCAGGGAAATAAAAGCAGAAGTCCTAAGAAGCCAGACGGAAATACAGTGTCTGCATAGCTTTGAGTCCACACAGCATTTGAAGGTAATTTTTGATCGTGAAGTCCTCTGTTCCTCTCTCCCTCTATTTCTCTCTAGAACACTCAAGACTTTACTGATGAAAGCTCAGCAGCTTCTCTAACTCAGTTTTAAGAACTAAACTAAGACATTAAAAGGGATATACCAGATGCCACTCTGCAGGTTGCATTAACTACCACTTACGGGACACATTCAAATCCTTCAGAATCATCTGAGTAACAAGGTAATTTTATATTGAGAAATATTAGACAAATATATGTATTTATACTATAATGTGTGTGTAATTTTCAGTCAAGTTTTTGTTAAAATTGGAAAACTTTAATAACAATATTGATGCAAGCACTTATTTGGACTAAAAATTAAAATATAAGCCACATTAATAGTGTTAGAGATAACCATTAACTTCACTAAAAAATTGTTTCTACAGAGCATGGAAATAAAATACAACGGTCTTACTTTATGTCAAGTGTAAATGTGATTTTAAATACAGAGGGAACTGAAATTCTCAGTATCAAGAATAGTTATTAAATAAGTTATAGCCTAAGCAAAATGAGCATTCCCAAGATAGAATTTCCAACATGATCAAAGAATGGACAACTAAGAGCAAATGGCAATAGCAAGGAAGGTTAAAATCAGGATCTTGTATCAATTAAATGCTGGGTTTAGCTTACTTTGTTTTAAGTGAAATAAGTGAAAATTGTGAAAACATAAATCTTAATTGTTTTACTTTCAATAATTAAAGTACGGGAAAAAATTCCACTGACTTTTTGGGGAATTTAGTGCTACCTTTGTCATTACTATTTTATATACTTGTACTTTTAACATTACTATGTCTTATATTCAGAAATAATATTCTATACAGAATCAATTCCATTTATCTTTGAAGAAATAAAAATGTTATGAATTTGATTTTAAATTTCAAAGCTTAGATGCCAGATGATGTATTCAAGTCAATTGCAAGTCTTCTTTATAGCTGTCTGTTGTGGTATTAATAAACAGCCTATGGACTCAGACAAGGACATGGCTTTGTACTTTATTTTAGCTACCAACATACACTCTATAAACCTAGAAAATGTGCCCTGCTGTTTTGAGGAATGCCATCCGATGACTACATACTGAGGTCATTTCCTTATTATTTTTTTACTGTTTTAAAATTTGTACTGAATGATATTCAAGAACCTGTAGGTAAAAACTCCAAATATATTGAGCAATACCAGAAATGGGTTAAAATATTTGGAGCTAAATAATGAGTCCCTGTGAGGCCTGATTTTTGAATGGGTGACTGAGCAATAAAGAGGCAGAAATATCTTTCAATTATAAAGGAAAACTTATTTTTCTGACTCAGTATTTCATTTATCAGTCACTTCCTAGAACCTCTGATAGCAGAAGAGTAAATGAAGCCCAGGAATAAGGATGGTGTAGGAAAAGTGTGCACAGAAATAAAGTTAAAAGGCACAGAAATGAAGTTGGAAAAGAATAAAGCATAACCCAAATATTTCTCTGCTACTTTTCATATATGTGTGCTTTTGCCTGAGATCAACTACATCCTGTAAGAGGAAAAACATTCAACAAATAAGAAATACAAAGTATCTATACCTTCATATGCTGTACTTCAGACCATTTTACTTTTGCTAGTGATTGAATATTCACCACAATGAAATATTTTGATTTTTTACTTTTTGCGTTCTTCTGACACAATGAGGATCAGAGACCTCTATGTTTAGAAAAGGCTGTTTAAAAAAGTTACACACAGAGATAAGAGCAGAATCAACTATCTGGGACTGAAAATAACTATCCCGTCCCTCCCCTTAGGTAGCAAAGAAGACACGGCAAGCCATGGACAACCTCACCTCTGTGGCTGGGAATGGCAGCCTGTGTACCAGAGACGACAAAATCAGCCAGGTCCTCTTCCCGCTCCTCTATACTGTCCTGTTTTTTGTTGGACTCATCACAAACAGCCTGGCAATGAGGATTTTCTTTCAAATCCGCAGTAAATCCAACTTTATTATTTTTCTTAAGAACACAGTGATTTCGGATCTTCTCATGATTCTTACTTTTCCATTCAAAATCCTTAGTGATGCCAAACTGGGGACAGGACCTCTGAGAACCTTTGTGTGCCAAGTGACCTCTGTCATATTTTATTTTACAATGTATATCAGTATCTCATTCCTAGGACTGATAACTATTGATCGCTATCAGAAGACCACCAGGCCATTTAAAACATCCAATACCAACAACCTCTTGGGGGCTAAGATTCTCTCTGTGGTCATCTGGGCGTTCATGTTCTTACTCTCTCTGCCTAACATGATTCTGACCAACAGGAGGCCAAGAGACAACAATGTGAAGAAATGCTCTTTCCTCAAATCGGAGTTTGGTCTGGTCTGGCATGAAATAGTCAATTATATCTGTCAAGTCATTTTCTGGATTAATTTTTTAATTGTCATTGTATGTTATACACTCATTACGAATGAACTGTACAGGTCTTATCTAAGAACAAGGGGTGCAGGCAAAGTCCCCAAGAAAAAGGTGAACATCAAAGTTTTCATTATCATTGCGGTATTTTTTATTTGTTTCGTTCCTTTCCATTTTGCCCGAATTCCCTACACCTTAAGCCAAACCCGCGACGTCTTCGACTGCTCTGCTGAGAACACTCTGTTCTACGTGAAAGAAAGCACTCTCTGGCTCACTTCCTTAAACGCATGCCTGGATCCATTCATTTACTTTTTCCTTTGCAAGTCGTTCAAAAATTCCTTGATGAGTATGCTCAAGTGCCCCAATTCTGCAGCATCGCCTTCCCAAGGAAGTAGGAAAAAAAGACAGGATGGTAGTGACCCAAGCGAAGAGACTCCAATGTAAACAAACTGAGGTAATTTCAATCTACTAATGTTTGCAACTCCTAAAAGAAAAGCACTATGTAAAAACATTAACACTGACCAGGAAGTAGTGGACTTAGTAACAACATATCAAGCAACAGAAGACTACAAAAGTAATTTTCATTTACCTCTCCAGTATTAAAAGCTATCTTAAAATGTAGAAAAATAACCTCACATGTAGCTACTCAGCAAAACAAACTGCAAAACAATCCAATTCAAGATTGTAGAGTTTGGGCAAAATTAATAACCATATAAAATTATCTACTGTAATACTATAAATATATTATTGATCACAATGTTATTAACTTATTATAATCAATTAAGGAAGAATGATAAATATGGTAAAATTTTCTGACCAAAACTCTAATTAAGATGTATACACATCCTCGTCCCCTAATCAGTTGCTGACCTATTGTGATACTCATAAAATTTAAGTAAATGGGACATGCCAAGAATACTAACTACTAACTTTTAATTATTAGCAAATATCTAAGGTAATTTACACTAATTGAAATGGTAATTGATTAGACTGAATTTTTTTTATTTTCATTAAGATGGGTTTTAAAAATGCCTTTCCAATTTTAAAAAGAGTAGAAATAGCAAATGAAGTTATTAAAATAGCTATTTTATGACATTCTAATACCAATAAGTTTGACTATTTCCTTAATACAAGAGAAGCCAGTTTCACTAATATTTTGACAATGTTAGTAAATATAATACCTCCATTAACACTTACCTTAATTAACTAGCATCCAGAAACTCTGCTACTTGGGTTAATGAGCATTTCCCTTAGAGAGAAAAACTATTTAAATATGACTATGAAGCTTTACAGAATAACTATTAACAGGAAAGTGATTTACATGTTTGGAAACCCCTTGAGGGCTAAGATTCTCTCTGTGGTCATCTGGGTGTTCATGTCATCTGGGCGTACCTATTTGTCATTTGTGTATAAACAAAAAATTTACATTAAACTCTAAATCACACTTGGTTGGAATTTCTTTATTCAAAGATATCAGACACTATGACTCATCTCCTAGATATTCCTACATCAAACATCAAACCACTTAAGAAAGGACAGCTGCTGACACTGTTTTATGACATACTCCTGGGCACCATCTTCCTGAAGGGGACATGTCAGCAGTGAGTTCATATGTAAATGAAAAAATAGGTCTGACTTATAAGGAAGTTTGATTCCACATAAGCCATACATATTATTTATAGTATAAACAAAATATATAGCACACTTGAAAGTTGATGTCATTTATCTGTTATTTATGAACCTTAGAGGTGAGTCTCAAACAGAAGGCATAGACACCAATACCTAAATATAATGTGAGAGGAAATAAAAAGGGTAAGTTGAAGTACACAAAGTTCACTGAACCTCAATAATAATTGATTTATCCAAACCTTCCATAAATTCTGCTGAGCTAAATTTCAGTACAAAGGTGAACTCGTTTAATTCTCTAAATGGTATCTATTTCCACACAGCCACATTTCCTTCTCTGGCGCTGCTACAAGCAAGCCCTGTGTGTCAATGAAGATGTAAAAAGAGACATGCATCAAAAAAGGGGCATATTCTACATCCCATTGGGTTAACAGCAGTAGTCATTTCTGACACGTAGACTAATGCAATTCACTGTAATGTCATATGTGTAAGCTTGTATGTTCTGCAAGAATACCAAGATATTTGAGCTGGAAGAGAAGATAGAGATCAACTAATCTGACCTTCCTATTTTGCATAGGGAAAAATGGCAGATTCACCTCTCAACCCATCCAAGTCCAGGGTAGAGAGTGGAATAAAACAGACCATGTTACAGTGCCATGACCACACAGCTGTTGGGAGACTGCAAAGATCTTCCCAAGTAATTTTTCCTTTTGAATTAATTCATTGAGATGACAATCATCACAAGAGAGGGAAAAAAAATAAAAGGACAAACACTAATGGTATTATGGTATTTTTGTAAAAGAATTGTAAAGTGTTTAGAATGATCTGTCTTATATATATAGCATGAAAATATTTACATTGAGCATTCACACTTTTTAATCAATTACATTGATAAAGCACACATTGTTGGAATTCTTTACTCAAAGGTGTTAGACTATATGCTTGCACATCAAACACTGAACTCAACCCTTCAAGACAGATGGAGAGATCGGTACTTACAGAGTGCACATTATACACAGAACATGTCACTAATTTTAGGAGTCTTAATATACATAATAAATCTCAGATTTTACAGTAACTGAAAAAAACAACAGTAAAGCCAAATTTTGTGGACCCAGTTCCAGAAGTTGAAAAACTCAGAAGATAAGATTCAGTCTTGCCATAGCTTTAGTGGCAAATAAGTCCTGAGGATGCATGTTATTGCCAGTTTCTCTACATGGTTTCTTATAGAAATAATCTAAAGCATGTGTTGTAAATTACACAGCATGCAAGCCAAATCTAGCCCATGACCTGTTTCTAGACAGCCTGTGACCTAAGAATGGTTTTTATATTTTCAGATGTCTGTGGAAGAAAAAAAATCAGAAGCATAAAATTTCACATTGCATTAAAGTTAAATGAAATTCTAGTTGAAGTGTCCATAATAAGGATTTATTAGAACAGAGCCACACCCACTCAGGTTTTACCTAGGGCTTGTTTCCCGCTATTAACAACACGGTTGAGTACTTGTGATGGAGACTGTACAGCCACAAAACCTAACTGTTTACTAACCAGCTCTTTAAAAGACTGACAACACCTGTACTAGAACTTTAAAAACAGAGAAAACCTTAAACAGCAAAAGAAATGTACCTATTCATGCACCTGGGTGTTTCAGCAGTTGTGCACAGAAAACAACTGCAGTTTCTGGACCCCGATCTAGGTAACCACTGTTGACTGGTAACATCCGAAGTGGGATTACAATTATGTTAGTGGGAATTAAACATGTGGAAATACAGTGACAAGTCCATTGAGAAAGGGAAACTGCCTGACTTTTTAAAAGGACATGAAAAATCGGTTTCTGGGAAAAACATAAATGAACAATAAACATATGAGAACGATACATGCCCTAATAAGCAAATAAATTTATATGTAAGTGGCATGGCATTTTTCACCTGTAAGTTTAAAACTGACTTAAAATATTTTTGCTAATAGTGTTGGAGAATTCCACTCAATGAGATTTTAAGTTGGTACAATCTTTCTTGAAAGCTATTTGAAAATATTCAACATTCTGATTCACAGCTTTTGATCCAGCAATCCCACTTCTAGGAAACTTCCTATATATGTTGGAATAAGTGCACAAAAGCATATGGACATGTATGTGCTCTACAGTACTGTTTTTAATAAATAAATAAATATTTTAAAAAACTAAATGCCTATCAGTAATGGCTTAACTAGATCATGGTACTTCATATAGTGTAACTTTTTTAAAAAATTAGGTAACTCTTCATATATTAACATGGAATGAAAGAAATATGTCAGTAAATGTAAATACATATATTTGCACACACACATTGGTATGTTCCACTACATACATGTCTATATTTGAATTCTTTCAACTTGTTTTTCTTTCATAATAAAAATATGAAACTATGTATTAACATAAATACTTGAGATAATATTGTGAATTTATCACCTGCTTCCAGTTATAGGTAGAGATTTTCTAATACTGATTTTATTTATAGACATATAGCTACATTTAATGTTAAATTACATAACTTATTTTAGCTCATTAGTACCATTTTCAGTTAATCCAGTGTGGAATTTTTTCAACAATTTTATATAATCTGAGAAAGTACCACGGGATACTTTGATGGGAACTAAAAGGCTTTTCTGTGAGTATATGAGTTCCACTTTGACTTGCATTCTAACTGAGAGCAAGTACTTCCTCATCTTCTCAGATATTATTATATGGTACTGGTTAGCCAGATCAACAGGGGGCTTTAGACTGTTAACTCTGATCCAAAGGAAAATCCCAAAGGAGACTAGAAATGGAAAAACTGGTTTGTTTTGATTTGGCAGGCTTCTTATTTCCAAGACCTTTCATTGTATCTTCTGTCTTTCCTGATCACGATGCTTTGAACTCATTTATGTTTTCAACCTTGCACCTCACTTTGAGGCAAAAGTTTCACAAGTCCATTAAACTTCATAGTTGATTGTCTTTCCTCACTCATCAATCAGTAACACCCACTCAAAAACTCCAGGTTTTGGTGAACACTTCCATATTCACCCTATCTGTGGCTCCTGACAGTCGGGAGAGTGAGGCAGGCTCTGAGCAAGGTATAGCCTCTGGAACCCAACTGTGGGTCTGCAGTGGGCTTGGGTGGCATGATTTGGACCAAACCCCTTAACTTCTGCATTTCAATTTTCTCATATGTAAAATGGGACCAATCTCTGAAAATCATTGTCAGAATTAAATAAGATCATACCATCACTTAGAACAGTGCAGCTACTGAGATTTGATTGGCTTTGACACTCTACAGTTGACCCTTGAACAATGTGGGTGTTAGGGGCACTGACCCCCCAATACAGTTTAAAATCTATGTATAATTTCTGACTCCTCCAAAACTTAACTAGTAATAACCTGTTGACCAGAATACCAATAGCATAAACAGTTGGTTAACACATACTTTGTATATTATATCCTATATTCTTACTTTAAAGAAAATATTTTCCAAATTGTTGTAAATCTCCAAAAAATTTTCCTATATGTTTATTGACAAAATTCCACATATAAGTAGACCTGCAGATCATGTTATTCAAGGGTCAACCATATTCCCTTTGAGTGTGATAGGATTTTAAGTGCTTAGTTTATTCCCATTGGGAAGCATCTAGTTTCTGGGACCTTTCATCGTTATCTTCCTTGATTTTTCTCATCTGTTGAATGTGTGCTATCCCCATATGTACACGGTATTCACTCCATTTTTCTTTCAACTTCATTTAACAAGAAACATACTGACACCTACCATGCAAAAAGCATTATTCTACACACATGGTGAATGTTCACTCAATTTATTCCCTTAACCCAAGAAAGCAGATACTTTTATTTATTTTCACTGTAGAGAGCAGGCAATTGTCTTACAGGGAGCACAAATAACTTGTCCAAGTTCACAAGAAAAGTAAAAGTTGGAACAAGGAATTGACTCCTGAGGCAGTGCTCCTATCTGCTCTGTTGAGCAGCCTCTCAGATATGCCCTTGGGGCAAAAGACTTCCCCCAAAGTCATCAAAACTGCTGTGAATGAAAGGGAGAGTTGGCTAATATGTACTGACTACATGGACATATAGGAATGTGTGATCTGTTGGATTTTTACTATGGTCAAACATTTGGAAATAAACACAGTTAAAAGAATATGCTCTGGAACTCTCAAAGTGGGCACCATTCCTCAGTTCTGCTTTTGAAAGTTTCCCACACTTTCGTATTTTGAAATTTGGCCAAAATGTAATTTCCAGTTTTCATGTTATGAAATTATCTTGTACAGCATTTCCTTTGTTTAAACTGAAAGTATTCCAAGCCTTCATCTAATTAATGTAGTTGGAGCTGTAGAGAAATTTATACCTAATTATTTAGGTCAAAATCACTCCTCTACTTAAAAAAAAAAAAAAAGAAGAGTCTTTTTTTATCTCTACTAAAACAAAAAAGACATATGTTTAAGTTACATTCCATTATATTTATGAAATCCAGAATTTGTATTTCCAAGCAACTTATTTCAGTCACACACCTATTTTTCAAACTCTGCTACTGCCGAGTAGGTCCAACCAAAATGGTCAGGTATCCTATTGCCTCATATTTTAAAACGTTCAACAGGATATACAATTTACTCTCAGAATCCCAAGCCAAGGCATCCAAAACTTCTCCATCAACCCAGCCCCACAGTCTGGTCCAACTTGTGGTAAAACTTGTAACAAAAAAATATGAAGTGAAACTCACCATGGAGAATTCCACATTCCCTCCTAAGATCTCCTACATTCCTTTTTCCCTTTCCCTATCTGTATCTGACAAGAAACATTTTTATCATAAAAGCATTTTACACAAAAGCAGCAATTACACTCTTTCAAACACAAAGAGATTTAAAGGAAAAATTTCACAGATGTTGGTCCAACATTGATTGATGAAATTTCTAGAGTCTTCAGCACTTTGCATACAACATAAAATAAATACAGAAGAGATTTCCAAAACTGGCTTTCTAATAAGCGAACTAGTGTCCATTTAAATCTGTCATTCACTCAACATTGCAGTGAGTGGCTACAATTTTTTAGTGTTTCATATAGAGCCAGCCTTCTTGGCACTCAGTTCCTCCTCTCAACAACAACATGAGGTATGTACTATTATTAAACCCATTATGCAAATAAGGAAACTGAGGCACACAGCTATTAAATCACTTGTCTATCTATGATCTAGTACCTGATTGGCTGATCTGGGATTCTAACCCCCAAACCTGAGTCTACTAGCGCTTAACTCTAGAAAATGTTACTTTATCTCTCAGAGATCAAAAGACTAACATAAACACCTATAGAAATAAATGCTGTCCTACTGAACACAAACTTCTGGAAAAAGTAGCCGACAGGGATGAAAATGATTCTGCTTAATTTTCGAGTCAACTCATATTCTCCTACATGTTTGTCATGTAGGGCCATTTTCATCTTTCTGCTGTCTGTTATTATATATAAGAGGCACTCAAAATTTTCACTGATATGTAGATAGAGTAGATAAACTGCAGGAAAGATACTATATAAGAAAAGATAATGATAACTGTAAGTACACTAATTTATTCAAGTCATAGGAGATAAGCAGTACATAAATTTAATATGAAAGAGGTTTCTTACTAGAAAAATCCCCCAAAGGTTTGAATAACAAGCAATTCTAATTCATCACATTACACACATGAAAATGAGGAAGGAAACCCGGTATAAGAAAGCAGAAGAACGTTTGCTTCATATGCGCTTCATGGACTGATCTATTGACCACCTCAATCAGAAGACACGGAGCTGAGTATCCTCTCAAAGGTGAGTTTCAAACTTTACTCTGCGTGGGCTTGCTTATAAAAGACAGAATATGTTTAAGGGGAAAAAATGCTTTTAGATTAATATTCTGCGAACCATAGACTGTGAGTATGAGGAACTGTATAATGTACAGCAATCTAACATGAATTATTACCTCTTACACGGGGTTTTGTTTTACTGCCATGTTAACAGTAATACCTGTGGATGGGGTAGAACCTGTTACATGAATTTCATAAGGGTGTGAAAGTAAGGGCCTGTCATTACACGTAACAAAAATGTATCACATGCCTTAAAAATTATAGTCAGAAACCACATGTGCCCTCTCAACCAATCTAGTGAATGTGATGACTAAATGTCAGGTGGTGAGATGGCACAAAACTAACATCTGGTTTGAAAAAGTAGCATTTCAAAGTCATGAAACGCTTCTTATTTTACTCTGTGTTGATTTATAAGAGCTGATGCTGGGAACCATGAACAGCACGGTGATGAAGGGCTTCAACGGGTCTGAACGGTGCCCGAGAGACACGCGGATAGCACAGCTGGTGTTCCCAGCCTCCTACACTGTCGTTTTCGTTACTGGCACAGTGCTGAACACTATGGCTCTGTGGGTGTTTGTTCACATCCCCAGCTCCTCCACCTTCATTGTCTACCTCAAAAACACTTTGGTGGCCGACTTGATAATGACACTCATGCTTCCATTTAAAATCCTCTCTGACGCACACCTCGGACCCTGGCAACTGAGAGCTTTCGTGTGTCGTTTCTCTGCCGTCATCTTTTATGAGACCATGTATGTGGGCATCATACTGCTGGGCCTCATAGCCTTTGACAGATTCCTCAAGATCATCAGGCCTTTTGGAAAATTCTTCGTACAAAAACCTGCTTTTGCAAAAATGGCCTCAGCCCTTGTCTGGCTCATTTTGTTCCTCTTATCTCTGCCAAATATGATCTTAAGCAACAAGGAAGCAACACCGTTGTCTGTGAGAAAGTGTGCCTCCCTGAAGGGGCCTCTGGGGCTGAAATGGCATCAAGCGGTGAATTACATATGCCAGGTCATTTTCTGGACTGTTTTCGTCCTAATGTTTCTGTTTTATATGGTGATTGCAAAAAAAGTATATAATTCTTATAGAAAGTCCAAAAGTAAAGACAGCAAAAACAACAAAAAGCTGGAAGGTAAAGTATTTGTTGTGGTGGCTGTCTTCTTCATGTGTTTTGCGCCATTTCATTTTGCCAGAATCCCATATACTCATAGTCAAACCAACAGTAAGACTGACTGTAGATTGCAAAATCAACTGTTTATAGCTAAAGAAACAACTCTGTTTTTGGCAGCAACTAACATTTGTATGGACCCCTTAATATATATATTCTTATGTAAAAAATTCACAGAAAGGTTACCATGTATGAGAGGGAGAAAGACCACAGAATCAACCCAAGAAAATCATACTAGTCAGACAGACAATATAACTCTAGGCTGATGAGTTACATGGTTAACTTTTGTTTATCAACAAAACTTCAAACGACATTTTATTTGGAAAGCAAAGTTGAGCAATGAGAAAAAAAAGACTAACTAATGTTTTCTCACATTTTATTATCCTGGTATACAGAAAAGATTATATAAATTTTATTTCTACATAGGTCTATTATTAGCAAAATGAAGTATCAGTAAGAGAATGTACAGAAAACAAACAGCCACTACTAATCTTTCTGAGAACATTCATTTACATTTGGAAAGGATTTATTGTGTATAAATGTATCATCCTAAAAACCTCCCCTCCAACACACTTTCTCAGATTCTTTTATACACATTATTCAAACAACACTACTGCTTTTGTATCCCACAAATGTCAGTACTCGATAATTTAAAAATAAAAAAGCCTTGGGAGTCCTCTAGTGAAAGCTGAAGCTAGGCACTGAAAGGAATGCTAGATATGAAGCATTTGGGGAACTGAAGCAGGTCAGAAAGCCCTCTGAAATTCTGGATGAAGGTGTTTCTCCTTATAATTACAAAGCACCTCAGCCATTATTCCGATACATGATAGGAAACACAAGCACCATTATTAAGCCATGTAAAATACTGCACTGTAGTATTTTGCTTACATTTTAAATATTTATGATTCAAGGGAAAGAATACTGTATTATTGTTCTCTGAAATTTTCCCTCTGCCCAGCAAAAACTCTAATGATGGTTGAATATGCCACCTACTCAGCAAAGCCCTTCTGGGTCACAACCTCTTTTCTGTCTCACACCTCTGATTGAAAATAATTACTTCTCCCACTATTTGGATATGGCTTAGAGTCCTCATTACAGATTTCACTTTCCTGGTTAGCTGGGTTCTTGACTGCATCTCCCAAAGATGGTTAGGATTGTTGAAGGAAGACAACATGTTTTGAAGACAGAACACATTTTCTTGGTGTCTCCCACAATGGATTAAAAATGTTTCAAATAGAATATATCACCATTATGCCATTCTTGATACATATACAAATGGAACTGGTGATGCACAATCTGTAACATCCAGACTGGGAATTTTTCTAAGGCTTGTACTTTTATTTCTGTATTTTTTCTTGAATTCCTCTGTGGTTCAAAAAATCTGAAAGATGGTTATCTGGAGTTGTGGATGCTGATTTATATCTTCTAGAGAAAATGCACAGAGGAAGAGTCATGCTCTGTAAATGTGTCTCTTGCTCCAACATGATCGTCGTAGGTGAAACATACCCCCCAGGGCACCAAAAGCTCCGAAACTTACCTACCTTCCTGGCCTCATCTCCTAACTGCTTTTCTATCTGTGGAACTCTCCACTGTTTTTAATTTGTAGCTGGTGCCATTGCACATGTAAATTTTCCTCTGACTCACCAAGAAATCTCTTACCCATCCATGACACCCTAAGTGGCCAGCACTGAATCCACGAAAATCATCCGGTCAACTTCCCACCACCATCTCAGACCTGATCATTCCCTCATCTGGATGTTGTTATACCTCAATTATTGTATTTATCACACCGCTGTGTAATTACCTGCTCACACGTATCTACTCTTGTATTAACCTATGTATACTTCTGAGAGCAGAGATTGTATCTCATTATGCAATCAAATAAGTATTTGATAAAAATATACCAAACTGATTTTTGCATGCTAGAAAAGCAAAAGGGAAGCTGGTTCTCACTAATGTTTTCATTTCTTGAAAACTCGTGCTTTTTAGTTGAGTTTCACAGCATGTACACAGAGGCCTGGGAAGTCGGGGTGTTCTTGGGTTCACTAGTGAATGAACATACAGGAAGCACGATTACTAAACTGTACATGTATAGCTTGGGGCTTGATGTCTATCAACATTTTGGTTTTACAGCTACTGACAAATGCTTTAGCTATGTACTGTCAGCTTTGGTTAAGTAAAATTTGTAACTAGCATATTACAATCTTCAAGACTCTCCTTTTAGAAGGTGTTCTTAATGTATTGGTTTTCATTCTCTCAAATAAAAAAGTTAAATCATTATAACTGGTAGAGACGTCACTAAATCCATATTACTTTTACTGAGTACATTACACAACTCGAGTAGACACTTAGTATAAGTAACTGTATCTAATGCATACAATATTAGACCTTTCAAGATAAAATTTCAATAGATTTGTCTGCCAAAAACACAAATATTTAATTACATAATAATAATATTATAGTCAAAAGCAGAGTACATGATGTGTAGAATGAAACAATCTCCAAGAACTTGGAGAATAGGCATATCAGAGCCATCTTAATATCACTCACAAAATGCAAAGGAGCTATGTGAAAAGAGCTTCCTGAATTAGCAATCACAAATACTAAATTACAGAATGCTTATAGAATGAGATGCTATACCACAGCCGTTAATAACACATAGAAGAGAGTAAAAAGAAAAATAGGTAGGAGCTTTGATAGAGTGTGTAAATTCAGAACACAAATCAGGACTTTTACAAAAAGCTAAAATGAAATTATTTTTACTGGATAAAGTCTTCTGAACATCTCTGGGGCAAGGAAGAGGGAAAGGGTATTGTCCCACACAGAGTTTCTCTGGCAAAGGAGAAAGGAGGAAGCAGACAAGCAGTGTGAACTCCCAAAGCACATAAATTAGAAGGCTGATAAAGTCACCATTACAACAAAACCTGTAAAAAAATTCAAGCTCATGAAACCCATTATTTCATATATTCTACATGCATTTAAAATCAGTTCTCCCCAGAACTTTCTAAAGTCTTCCTAAAAAGTGTCTGACCATTACTTCTAAGCAAACTGCATTCCTCCAGCAGGTTAACAGATCAAACTGTGCCTGGATCTTAACAGAACAACACCTCCAGAGCAGAGCAGCCCACTCCAGTGGTGTCTAATATCTGAGGGAATGCATGTCTAGAAGACAGCAGCCCTGATAAGGAGAGGGAGGGACATATAAATTACCTAAGTACCTAGAAACACAGCTCAACATTCTAAATTTTACATGGGAACCAAATATAAGTGATATGAATATAGAATACATGTGCTAAATCAGTTCTCAAACTTTAGTGGATACCAGAACTGGATGGATAAAGTCTTAAAACACAGACTGAAAGGCCCACCTTCAGAGTTTCTGACTCAGTAGGTGTGGGGTGAGGCCTGGGACCAAGTTTCCGGGGGATACTGATGCTATCAGTCTGGACCACACGTTAAGAACCACTGTGCTGAAAGTTCCTATAGGTTCTTCCAATAAAGACTGATTCACAGCACAGCTCCCTTGAGCATGCATGACCAACAGGGCGTTCTGTCAACAGGAGACAAATAAAATTGTTATTAAGAGAACCAGACAGCCATAGTGACAGGCATTGGCAAAGGCTACAGCTAACTGGAAAGTTCATGCCCTGCTTACAGGGGCATCTACTACTCAGTGCCAACTATTGGCACAGGAGAGATTTGGGGACCAAGGTTGCTGGCCAGTAGCAATGGCCTATTCAAACCAGCATCAGTGACTGTAGGTAAAATTGCAATATTTCCAGAATCTCTTGCTGGGCCTTAGTGCATCTCCATATCAAAAGCTGTTTCCAAGGGGTGGAGAGAAATAGTCCATCTCCATATCAATAGACAATTTTAAGGGGGGGAGAGGGCATATCTGGACCTTAGAGGTAAGGTGGGGTCCTTTTGCAGCTGGGTCACGAGAGACATGGGTGAGCATAAGAACACAATTGCTTGTAAGCAATAAACAGATATCTCCCCTTTATTTCTCCCTTTGACTGATTTTGGCTTCAAAGGTTACTTGTCCCAGGGTGGGAACATATTTTCTCCCAAGCGTTACAGTGACCAAGAAAGCAGTATACATAATGCACTATTTACTATGTACCAAGCAAGCATACTGTGAACATTACATATTTTGTTCCATTTAATAATGCCAGGAAGCCTAAAAAGTGCTACTGTTATCTTCATTTTAGAAATTTAAAAAAGTGAGAAACACAGAAGTTAAGCAACTTGCATGGGGTCACACAGCTTTTAAGTAGCAGGGCGAGGACTCTAATTTAGGCCCCTGCTTCTGAGCTCACATTCTTCACCACTGCATTGACAATCTCAGATCTTCTACTGTTCTCCAGAGAAATCATAAATCCAGTTCCTATGCTATATTTCCTGTTATTTTCACAACTTCTGCAGCTACCCCCCACACTCCCTGACCCCACAAAAAAAATACACTCATGTGCAGGCCAGAACTAGCCCAGGTCTGTCAGCTGCTTAGTCCTGACCTAGAAGCTGACAAGAACCTCCTCCCAGGGCCTTATATCAGTAGCTTACACTCATTTACTGAAGGCTTGCAATGTGCCAGGCAATACACTCTGAACTTTACGAGGATTACCACCTTGATTTTTCTCACTACTACCCTATGATATAGATATCACAGGGCTCCTTGCTAAAGGGCTGGGGGAAGGACAGTACAAAAATAGAAAACTGAGGTACAAAGTGAACATATACTTGCCCAAGGCACACACAAAACCCCACCAGCAAGTGGAGGCAGAGTTGGGACTGAAATCCAGGCAGGCAATCTCAAGACGAACATCTCAGGGGCTCTGCTACACCAACTCTCTGACAGTAAGGACAAGTTGATTCCTCAAGGGTTGACAGCAAGCCCCAGAAGTGAGAATGGTAAGCTCCTGAAGAGGGAGAGAGAGGTCGCCACACAAACCAGCACGCAGGTGAAAATGGTTCAAACACGGACCCTATGAGTACTTAGGATTCACCTCTGGCACTTGGGAGTTACTAAGAGAAGTATGATCCCAAAAAGTGGATTCAGGGCTTCATTTAGCCAGTCATTCCTGCGTCCTGTCCTTCAGAGCAGCCCCTTGCCTCTCTGGAGTCTCACACTGGTAAGTAACAGACTAGGATGAATCCAAGCATGGAAAATGGCATGAAAGAGTAACTCAAAACAGAAGCTCAGAGGAAAAGGTAGCTAATTCCAAATGGAGAAACTGAGGGAGGGCTCAAAGGGGATGGAAACATGAACTGGACTTTGGTGTTCAGAAGGTAACACTGCAGTGCAAGTAGTAGTTTGAGGTTTGAGGAAGGCTCTGGTGGGGTGGGGACTGTGCTGTGGCCAGAGTGTGAGGGGCCATGGAGGGCCTGAGGCCGTGGCATGGGAATGGAACATGGGACCCTGCAGCAGAGCACTTTGGTGTTAGGTTGGGGTGCTAGAACTTCTCTAGGAGACAATAAGGGTTTGAAATGAAGAACTACATGCTACGCTTTAGGAAAATCAATTTGTCCACAATAGGATGATTCTAGATTTAAGGAAAAGTCATTGAGCACAGGATATCAATTAAAGAAATCTTTCATCCATGAAGGCCAGAACCAGGGGGAAAAAAAAGAAAGCACCTGACATGGACCATAAGACATTTTCAGAAAGAGGTCTTGAGTCCAAGAGCCCTGGAGAATAGGGGATTATATGTAAAATGTATGTGATTAATATGCAAAAAGTATGCTCAATAGAGGTCCATAATCACCACCCAACCCCTTCCAATTGAGATTCATTTCTTCTGAAGATGATTAGGTTGGTTGATGTGTTGGATCATGAAGGAAGTGCAAGAAGCAGATTCTGGGTTTGACGATTTTGGGTTATCAGTGAGAGAGCTGGGTAAAGGAGTCTAGCCAGTGGGGGCAAAATATGCATGTAGGTCTCTGAAGACAGGGCTAGTTAAAGGCCGAGAAAGTAATCGTTTCTAAGACAGAGAGAGAATAAGGAAAGAGCTGAGTTCCTCAGAGTCCACATTGCATAAGTCTATGCACAGAGAGGACAGGACAGAAACTGGGGGACATTGGGACTGGGATGGGGGTGGGAGGATGTGAATTAAAAGGAAAAACAGGAGGTCTGTCATATTTCTTCATCCTGTCTGGAGAAACAGGAGAAATCAAGGAACAAGAGAGATACAAGGAGGAAGCAAGAGTCAACTGAATACTAGGGTAGAGCCCAGTTTGTAATGGGAAAGGAGGGGCTATTAGAAACTCTTATCTTGCTATAAAGGAAAAATCAGTTTACAAGACTTCCAAGGAGAAAAAAACAGCTGTTATATTATATTAGTTCAGCTTCTTCCAAGGGTTTCTAAAGACAGGTAGATTAGGTTCTTTCTCTACTTCTGATTCAGTGCACATTGAATATTCACCCAGTGAAATGCCAGAGAGAAGAGAGGTGCAAATCAAATGGAGGGTGTGACTATGCGACCAAAAGAACCCAGCTTTGGTCAGAAAATGGGTGTGTCAACATTGCAGGCTTCCGTATTACCTGGGTTTCTGATTCCCAGTCTATGACCTATTCTAGCATAAAATATTTGTGGGGACAAAAAAGGGGTAGGAGGAAGAGATGGAGACAATAAGTGGTAGGGCAAGTTGAGAATGGGGTAGGAATGATAAAAGAAAGAGAAAAGCAAGAATACAAAAGAGAAAGGAAACTGCATTTAAGACTTACACTAACCAGGTAAACCAGTTTTTTAAAAAATTCCATACCTCACTCAGTATGTGAACTTTTGCACTTCTGTGATAAACCTCAAATTGACAATGTAACATTCTGGGCCATAGTAACATACGTCTACCTTTATTTTAAAATTCAGCTTAAATGGTAGATGCTTGCATGTGACCTAACAGTGGTATTCATGTCTAATGCATATCTAAATACTTTTATAGTCTTTTAAAACATTTGCTTTATGAATCAAATTTAAATCACGTACACCTATCTTTTACTCTATGCTTTTAATCCTGTCATTTTATTTAATTCTACAACTGAAATTTCCTGCAACTAAAATTGCCCAAACTGTTAGTGAATGAAGCATTACCCTCAAGGCAGCAACCCTGCTGAGACCACCTCTCATCTCCCCCCACATATCCTGGCTTTGGCTTATATGCTTTCGCACAATTTCAAATAGTCTGGAATAAGCTAGTCCTGATTTCCTTGTTTTCAAGGAGAGCTGTCAAGAAAGAATAGAAAAAGCATTTCAAGCAACCATCAGTTCATCATTAAAGGAAAA